AGTATTTTGCCTTTCTTTTGCTTTTCCTTTCTGCTTATAGAAAATATGGGTGGACAAAAAATATTGCTCGCAACTACTAATAAACCTAGGTTTTAACTTTTTTTTCTGTGAGTGTTGCTCATGCGTAAGTCGCTGCAACAAATTCTAGGTGTTATGGATATTTTCCAGTGCATTGCTGTGTGGTTGCTAGGGTACTCGGAGTTGTTCCTAGGTGCTTGCTTACTGGCACAAGTGCCTGATATATTATAGTCACTAGATATGGTTATGGTCCCTCATTCAGTACATGTTTACACAGCTGAGTTAAGGATGATCTGTGCCTGCTCAGAATTCTGTGTAAAGACGTAATGCTGCATAGAAGCCAGACTAAATAATGCCTACTCTGACCCACCTCAACCCCTAGTATACAGTGTACAGTATACAGTTGTAATTGCTGTGTAAATGCATTCATGACACCTCTGAGCAGCATTAAATAGTCTGTGTAAAGACACCTAAATGCCACTTCAGAAGTGATTCTGTGTCACCTTTGCAGTGTAATTGTTGCTTTAAGTTTGAATAGCTCTCCAAAACAAGCCATATTTTGAGGTACTATTCATGCATAATATCATTAAGGTTTGCTAATTAAGAATAGATCAGGGGTGTCCAAAGTGTGGCCCGTGGATGAATTTCAAACGGCCCACAGCTTGTCTATTAAAATATATTATATGTGGCCCGCCAAGCATAATTTACGAATAATGCAGTTTCACAATGTCAACACATTGTGACAGCACTAAATTTTAGGCGAACGAGAGCACGAGAATTCCTATAGCAGAAGAGTGCTACTTGTTTGAGCGCAGAGCAAGCTCAGAACAAATGCGTTTAGTCGCTGACTGATCTCGATCTCGCTGTGATGTTTGGTGCAGAGGTCTCTGATACAAACCACAGATGTCGCGGTGATTTAAACTAGTTGAAAGCCAGATGAAACCGCGCTGACATTCTCAACAGCACTGACACGGAAACGTGTCGGAAAACTTTTCAATCCACAAATCACCAACATTTTCAATGGATTTACTGCAGTAACACTAACTGTAGGCTAACTTTTGTATTGTGGCAGAAATGTAGGATATTTATACCAAATTTTGTTATATTATTAATGTAGACATATAGGCCTATTGAATGTAATGTAAGGGAGTAATGACATATAGGCCAAAATACAGATAGTTTTGTTCTAAGCAGTTTTGTGCATTTCTATTTATACAAAATAAATGTGTTAATAGACTAAATAATATAAAGCCATTATATATATTATAATTATTTTAAATTTAATTTATATTAAAACCCTTTTAAAACGAGGTTTTGCTACTGTCAACTCAAGCTACTGATATAGATATATATATGTATATGTATATGTATATGTGTATGTGTGTGTGTGTGTGTGTGTGTGTGTGTGTGTGTGTGTGTGTGTGTGTGTGTGTGTGTGTGTGTGTGTGTGTGTATCTGGCCCCCCGGTGTGTCCACATCACAGAATCTGGCCCCCTTTAAAAAAAAGTTGGGACACTCCTGAAATAGAGGTTTGTTCACATCAGTATTATCACATTCTGCAAGTTAAAAGCAACACATGCTTCATATTATTTTTAAATCTATGAATAAAGGAAATTATTCAGTTTGATAGTATCTCATATTCCTGTTTATATTGCGTAGGGAAAGACTGAACTTGCTATCCTGCACAGTTTTCTCTAACAGGCTCTCAGTGCCTGCGATGCATAATTGAGATTCTTCTGCCTTCTGTTCTTTGTGCAGAGGCAGAATGAATGGCTCTCTGTGTGTGAAGTGGAGTAAATGGATACGTTTCTGTGCACGTCGGAGTGTTGATGAGAGCGAGCACATAGTTGTTTGTTAACCGTTTCATGCCGCAGAGCCTCAGAAATCTCAGATGTGAAGGCTGGCGCTCTTTGCACACCATGTGCCCGGCTCTTGAGACTGGACACTGTCTGTCTTTCAGCTCTGACCTTTGTTTTGAACGCAGCTCTGAGAGCAGTTTCTGTCCCTCCCTCTCTATCTCTTTGTCTCTCTGTATCTCATTTCTTTTTCTTCCTTGTTCCAGTTTCCTACTCGTCCGTTCTCATTTTTACCATGCTTTGTATTTCCTTGCCATCTCTTCCTTGTTTAAATTTCCGTCTCCTCTTTGTTGTGCCACCAGTTTCTCTCTCTAAATAAGGTAATCAAGCTCAGCACTTTATTTTCCTCGGTATGCATTCTCACACGACAGGTTTCCTTTCTCTCTGTGGCTTTAAAAAAGAACATGGATCTTTAAAAAAAAAATAAAAAAAGCCTGTCCAAGGAGGTAAGAGCCAACCTGTGGGAAGAAGCAATCAGAGAAACACGAAACTCGTATTAACCCACAGGACGACATTTAGCACTCAGACCAACACTGATCCTGCTTCTAAAGACGGGAAGAATTTACATTTTAATGTATAAATATGTAGAATTTGAATATAAACAAATAAAAAAAATATATATTTTATTGTAGTATTGTTTAAATGATCGTTATGATAATTATTTCTGCAGCCCCGTCCACTTTAACATTTAATTGGTCAAATTCAGCTCATATCAAATTTTCATTGGCTGTGATTTTCATGTCACACAACATTTTTTGCATTCAGTGTATGGAACATTTGTGGGAACGTGCTAACTGGTTTAAAAAAAATGTCACAGTCCAAAAAAATCGTATTGGTCATAAATGCAGATGTGTTTTATTTATGCAAAATTGTATGTTTTATGTATTTTCCCTATCATTCTGAGGTGAAATATGACTTGAGCATGTTTTGGTGATTTACCTCATAAGATTTGCAAATCTGCAGCAGCTCATTAAGTGAACAGATTTTAACATCCTGTTTAAATAACCTCTTTTGCTCCCAGCATGTCAAGGAAAGTAGATGCGATCTGCTTAAAGAGTGTCTTTTGTAACGTTTTAAATTGGTTAGCATGATCTTGGCAAGCTGAACCCGTCTCAGGGTGATTAATTGCTGCAACATTAGACAAGCACTGCAGTGTTGGAGAAATGGCCTTCATAGTAACGTTAGATGAGCTGGCAACCCAAGACTGTGAAAACAGTCCAGACTAAAAGCCCTTGGCTAGAACCCGATAAACCCCTTCAGCTGAGGACACTCAGGCCCCTTCATTACAGTGCACTGACGTGCCAGTATAAATACATATTTCAGCTTCAATCTGAGCTGATTGGGGTTTTGCGCCTGATATTGTTCAAGTGAAATGTGGTGTAAACACTGAGCTGTTCAGACAGACAGCGGGGAGTGTGCGCAGAGGGCAGATTAACGGACGTCCTCCGGCAGCGTTTCACGCTCCTCGGAAGAATTAGGTGAACATCACTTGTAGACTACCTCAGCGTCCTTTAGCTGAACTCCATATGGTAATGCACAGTGCAGTTTTGGTACGCTGAATACTAAAGCGATACGTTGAAAATGTGGAATTTGGAGATAAACGCCTGATATCCAGTTGTTTTCTTGGAGCAGTTCCCAGATAAAACCAATGGTCAATAGATAGTGCACATTTTGGTATTTTTTAATTTTCATTGAGTAAATTGAGTAAAAATTGTGTAAACAACAAAAGAATTCACCTCGCACACCTAAAAAAAAAAAATTTCCTTTTGTGCAGAATTTTTAATATATAAATTTACTGAATGTTTTTTGCAGGCTATGGTGGCATGCATGCTTTTTCCTCTTTTTCACCCTTCATAAGAATAAATATTGTGTGAAATAAACATTTAAATTCACAGCAAATTTAAAATTGTTTCTATATTATGTAATTGTGTTATCGGCTTTAAAGGGTTAGTTCACCCAAAAATGAAAAATTAGCCCATAAATTACTCACCCTCAATGCACCCTAGGTGTATATGGCTTTCTTCTTTCAGACGAATCCAGTCAGAGTTATATAAAAAAATTGTCTTTGATCGTTCAAGCTGTTTAATGCCAGTCAGTGGGTTTTGCATTGCTTCAGTCCAAAAGAAGTTAAATAAAAAGCACCCATCCATAAAAAAAAGTGTCTCACACTGCTCTGGGGGGGTGAACAAAGGCCTCCTGTAGTGAATCGATGCGTTTTTGTAAGAAAAATAACCATATTTAAAACGTAATAATCAATTTAATCTAGCTTGCGCTCACTATTGTAAATGGAAGCAGTTCCGGGAGGATGGCGTATCAGGTCGGCTTTGCGCATGCACCGCTCAGGAGTGAGCGGAAACGCAGCGGAGAGATCAAAACAAAACAACCGTCACGAATTAGAAGTACAAAACGAGGATTTGGAAAGAAGAATGTCGGAGGATTTCGATATAAGCCAAGAGGAGACTGGTTTTCCTTTGCTAAAGTAAGGAAACTTTGCTTCCTTTGCTCCTGTTAACAAACGTTGGTTTTCACAAGACTCACCAGTGCATGCGTAACGCTGAACTCATACGTCATCAGTCCGGAGCGACTTCTGTGTACAACTGTTAAAGTGATTATTACGTTTTGAATATGGATATTTTTCTTACAAAAACGCATCGATTCGCAACAGGAGACCTTTGCTTACCCCCCCCCCCCAGAGCCGTGCGAGACACTTTTTTATGGATGGGTGCTTTTTATATCACTTCTTTTGGACTGAAGCAATGCAATTAAGTAATTTAAAGAGTAATTTATGGTCTAATTTTCATTTTTGGGTGAACTAACCCTTTAACATCAGCCAAATTTGAAACAAGGAAAATGAAACTTGGTTTTAAAAAAATTCTTAAATTGTTGCATAAGTGACAGTTTATGTAAGAATGTTTTTACAAATTATTTACACAGAGCAATGTTGAAAAACAAATGTGGTTATTTATTATTAAATAAGAATAATTCTAACACACACATTTGATTTGAATGTTTCCTCCCAGCTTGATCAAGCATGCTGAAAAATGATACTGAATTTGGCTTTGTGTATGAATGTACCTGATGTAACATTTTAAAAAATCTGATCTTTTGCTGTCTTTATAATTTCAGGAAAAGCCAGACGCCACCTAAAGCATCTGTTGCTCTTACTGGTAGTGTACAACCTGAAGAACCAGCTTTCATGAAGCCACAGAATGAACGGAAGAACCAGGCAGAACATATACATGTGGCATCTTCCAACTCGGCTGTCCAAAGAGCCAATGAGATGCTGCAGGATCCGGGATGGTTTAAAAATGAGATGAAGAGTCTACTGCAGGTGAGCACTTTAGAAATCAATACTGACTTTCACACTTTCACGCTCTGATAGTCCTGCTATGGGTTTAGTTACTAGAATGGATCTCTGCAGTGGCATTGGCCAAACCAATTACAACTTAAATTGCTTCTACTAATTTGTCGATATTCTCAAACAGGTCGATTGCTAAAAAGTGGCTTTGCACATCTAAATTTTATAATCAGCCTTTGTTATATTATATCTATCTATCTATCTATCCGCCTGTCTGTCTATCTATCTGTATATCTATCATACATGCATTCATGCATATGAATGTGTATCTATACAGTATATATATATATATATATATATATATATGTGTGTGTGTGTGTGTGTGTGTTTATACATTAAATATGTTTGTGGTCATTACTATGCTTTACAAATGGAAGGATCATTATGATGTGATTATTGTTTTATTCTCTTTTTAATTTACAGCGTGGTAGATGCAATCATCAGCCTGTGAGATCACAGATACACAATATTATCATGCTAATTTATTTAATTATTTACTTACTTAGTTTCATAGCCAGAGAGTGAACGAACTCTAGGGTAAGGCTAAAAGTAGCCTAATGTTAGTGTGATCTATTAACTACACATTATATATTTCCAGCCAAGAAGCTTAATAATAATAATAATTATTATTATTATTATTAGGGATATACCGATACTGGTATCGGTATCAGGCCCGATACTGGTCTCCTCTACTCCTACTCGTACTCGTTAAAATGCCAGATACCAAACGCCGATACCACACAGCATGTGATAAGTGCCATATTCAAACAAAGAAACACGGAAAACAGAACAACAGATAGCAGAAAGGAGTTAAGGATGTCTACTATGAAGTATATGTATGCAATGAATATAATGTTAAACATTCAGTATTGACTGTATAGCTGATGTGCGCGAGCTGATAAACAAAGCACGCTGAGTGGATTGAGCGTGCAGCGGCGCAGATGCGCGAGCTTGTCGAGTGAATATATCTTTCTCACAGACATCACTGGAAAGTTTGTAGTTCGGTCGGATATGTCAAAAACAAGTAAGTTAAATAATGCACAAGTTACTTAACGGTAGGGAGAGAGAGAGAGAGCGCACGCGCGCAATTCTGTTGTGTGATCTTTGATGTTCACTCACTTAGCACACGCATCATTTGGATTAAAACTTAATTGTAAAAATAAAACCATTCATAGGGGCATTAAACATAATTTATTTTCAACCTTAGGCATACACGACTTTCTGGCGAAAGTGAATCTAGCAGCCTGTGTGAAATGCGCTAGGCTGTACTATTCTGCATCAGTACAAATACCTGCACGCGTTGCGCGTGTTTTGCTTGTTTGAGTGTTTCTGCATTATATGAGTGGCTTTGGAATATAAATCGCAGCACAGTTAGGAGATTTATAACGAGTGGTTCCCTACATTATTACAGCAAAGCGAGTGATTACAGTACTAAGCCGCTGCAATGGAGCAGCTCTAATGTTATGAAATTAAAGGAGATGTACCACAGAGCAAAAAAATAAACAGTGAAAGTAACAAAAACTTGTAAAATACATTTTAATGGGCATACTTAAGTGTGAAAATAACCGAAGGATATACAGTGAAACCAAAAATTATTCAGAGACCAGATATAATTTTTTATATTTTTTTAGTGGGTGCAGGACAGTGAGGATAGCAAAATAAAGTAAACTGTGACAAATCATACAAAAAATACATAACCTTCATACAGTGGACTACCAGTAAAATTGATTCAGACTGAGTCTGGGAAAAAAACTGAAGTTGAGGTTTGCATGAAGCTGGATGACAGCATGCCCAGGAGACTACAGGCTGTCATTGAGGCTAAGGGCTGCCCGACTAAGTATTGATAGTTGTGTAAATACTGTCATACTAACAGCTGTCTGAATTATTTTGGTTGATTGTAATCTATTACATACCTTTCTGTCAAAATTATCTAGCATTATCAAGATGAATTTGTTCTCACACAGTGTAACTCCGAGTTCTTGTATATATTTTATTACCATTTTGTCATTTTTTTTATTACCATTACCAACTATAGCGAATAAACTGTGATAATGTGAGAAATGTTGAAGGTGTCTGAATAAATTTTAGTTTGACTATCTATTTGATAAATTAAGTTAACCAACTAACATTATACATACCCTTTTGGTTTCTGTACCCAATATTTAAATAATGTACTCTGTACTCGGTATCGGCAAGTACCAAAAATAAAAGTATCGGTATCGGGTGAGTACTGGAAAAAGTGGTATCGGTGCATCCCTAATTATTATTATTATATTCATCTTGATATCGTCACATTTCTAACTATCGTCGATACTATCGTCTATCGGCACAACCCTAGTAGACGCAAACCACACAATAAGATTATGTATAACACATAAATGACAAATCTGTCAAAAACAGCTTCACAATAATAAGTAAAAATCAAGACTCAGAATAGTAATTTTTGTGTCTAAATTCGACTAATGGCTGTGTCATAGACTGTCAACTGGTATAAATGGTATAGCAAAATGTCTACTGGTGGGCTACTGTCACACTATATGTGTATATATGCACGATCATACCGCCCTGTCCAACTCTTTGCATTGATCTGCAGGTTTCTGGTCATTTAAAGCCACCCAATGACAGTCAAAGTGTTGAGCTCCGGATTGAGTTAATTTAATTGAAGAGGAACTACTGATGAAATCAAGCCGAGACACGGAGCCAAGACATTCGTGTCTCATTGACCAGACACCAATTTTTCCAAATGTTTCTTCCCTTTGCCTCCCACACTAATGATTTACAGCACCTCTTCGTTCTTACCAAATGTGCCACTGCCTGTTTCCATCCATTACTGTCACCCTCGCTCTCCCAATAAGCCATTGAGTTTCCAGGCACGTCTTTTGCGACTGGAAAATTCCATCAGCCCAGAATAATGTAACATACAGCAAATGACACATTAGCATATAATTGAGGATGCAGGATTTGAATGCTCTTTGGCCGCTCTTTGCTCTTTCAGAGAAGCGTTGTCTGTCTCTCTCTTTCTCTGTCTCTCTCTCTCTTGCGAACTGAGACAGCCAAGTCACTAGTCTTGCCGTCTGGCCTGTTTTAATGGAATGTCACTCACATTGCACATTATTATGTTCCTGCCCGCAATGTCCCATCATTTTTGGGCCATTTTATGAATACAAAAGCGTTGTACAGGTACTACAGTTTTTCCTCTGGTGCATGTAATTACTCACTGACAGTATGCTTTGCATATATGTGAAGTCTAAACTTCCTTTTGTAGTTTGCTGCTAAGACTCTGCATCTCGGTCCTTGTCCTTTCAGATTGCTGATGCGTTTCCTGTGCAGAATGCCAAGTTGACCCAGAACAGCAGGAGCAGCCATCTCGCCCCCTCCGCCACGACCCCGCCTCTTCCCATAACCCCCATCTCCTTGGTAGGTTCCCATGGTAACCCCATCCTCTGCAGTTCCAGGTTTACGAGCCTTCTCCTCTGTGCAGTTTCTATCCACAACAACAGAATGACACAATTGTACCTTTTGTATCCTGCAATTTCAGCCCTGCTGTTATTCAGAGAACTTATAAATCAGTGTTATCACTCGTTTACACCTGGGCTTCAGAATAAATGTGCCGCACCCCTCCCAAATGCAGCCACAGCAAATTTCGGGATTCGTTTTTTTTAGGATTGTTTCTATTTTTTTGTCTAAGTCAGTAATTGCATCCACCAATTTTGGTTCCAGTTTCTGTGTTCAAAACGTTGAACTATAGAAATGATCACACTACATAATTTAATTTGTCTGTCTATCTGTCTGTGTGTGTGTGTGTGTTATGTAAACAGCATGTTAAAGCCACTCAGACTGCTATTTTCTCCTTCTCGGAAAGCGATGATGTAGTCATGTAGTGGGTTTTCCAGAAAATGCGTGTACTCCCTGGATCGTGCTTCTTGTAAATACTGCCGTGTATTGTGCATGTTATTTTTTGACAGACAACAATTTCGTTATATTCAAATAATGTGGATTTGATCATAAGGTAATGGTTATTTATTTCTAGCAGGCAAATATTTAGTGAAGTGATTGATGCTCATGAGTGTGTTATGTCAATGTTTTTAGTTCTGATATTCCAACCGACAGCCAGCCAGTTTTTAACGGACATTATAACGTGCGTAAGGGGGAACTATGTTTGATTTTTGGGTAATTATACATGCTGGAGACAGTCTAAATGCTTTTTTGAAATCATTATACTTGCTTCACGGAATGAAGTTGATTTCATGGCTTAAATAAAGTACATGTTACTCAGAAGCTGACATGTTTGGCTTGTCAAGTTGTCACAAATTCGTTGACTTTTGAAAATCAAGTACATTTTTTAACAGGAAAGGAGTGGTTTAAATGCACAAAGTTAATTGTATTGTCTCTTATTTAAAATGCAGATCCTGTTGTAAATAATAGTGAAAAATCACTTGTTTTCACTATTATAAAAAAAAAAAAAACTTTGCATAGATATAGATAGATACATAGATAATTAAATTCACTCTATCCTAGAATTTGCAGATGATCTTGTAAACATCTTGTGGATGTGCCCCAATGCCCTCCTTTGCTTAATAATGCTCAGTATATCTTAAGAACAGAAAGTACTGCTGTAAGAAAATCTATGAAAGTGCCTGATTAATAGTATTCTAGCGCCTCCGATGTGGCTGAATGTTTGACAGGAGCACAGGGTTGAGGTTAGAGAGTCCCTCGTCAAGGCGAGCCTGCCAGAGCAGCATCTGCCGGCCCATGTAATGGATTTATGGAGCTCTCTGACAGATTTATATTCAGGAGAGGGAGAGACAGCCAAGGACCCTCGGTTGCCCACTTTCGTGCTTGCCGAGAAGGAACGTGACACGTATACTACAGGGAAATATGCAGCAGTTCAGGCGAGATTTATGCGGGGCTAGTGCAGCAGTCACCTGTATTTGATCTTGAACTCTTACCGCACAAATTTTTAAATGGAATTAATAGTTTTATTCAAAATGCGTCCATTAATTTAATCAAAAGTGACAGCAAAGACGTTTACAAAATATTTCTATTTCAAATAAATGCTGTTCTGTTGACTTCTATTCATTCTATTTATTCAGGAATAAAGTTCATTTAAAATTATATTTAAATAAAACACAGTTATTTTGAATTGTAATAATATTTCACAGTATTTCAGTTTTGACTGTATTTTTCATCAAATGAATGCTGCCTTTTAAAAACATGACAACATTTAATACATATTATCACTTAATAATTTATAATTAATTATTATAATAATGCTTATTCTGTATTATACAAATAATATATATCTCCAGTCAGCGTTTTAATAAGAATAAAATCTGTTTTGTAGTGAGACGGATGAAAATGTTGGCAAAGCAAATAAAAAATCTCAACTACTGGCTTGTCAGCAAAAGAATTCCTGATTGTTGAGGCCTGAAAATATTTCCGAATGCCTTTCGGAATAAACAACAGAGCTCACCCTAATGGCTCATAGCAGCATTCCATTAAACATATTTATCATATGTATTCTCTGGAGCGGCTCCCTTACAAAGACAGTTTGTTTTTCCCCTCAAAATATACACAGTGATTTAAATGCATCCAATATCTTTCAATCTCTCCTCCTCTCTCACAGCCCCCAGAGCCGGTTGATACGATTACCATCAGGGCTGCTCCTTTAAACAGAGCCAGCATTCTGAAGAGCATCCAGCCGCCCACATCCATGTTTGAGGATGCAGGACTGGTCCTGAGGCAGGTCAGGCAGAGCAAGAAGGTTCTGGAAGAAAACCTGGAAGCCATTTTGAGAGCCACAGATGGAGAGGTGCTTCACACGCAGTTAGAGGCACTGTCGAAAAACAGGTATGATATGCCCATGCACAAAAAAGTACCATAGTATTACACCGTATGGACACTACCTTATTTTTTTTTACCGTTTCATTTAAAAACCGTAGTATAAGAATACAGTGATCAGATACCATAACCGAAACATGGTACCCCAACAGTGCTTTCTCTGTAAAGGGTTGTCTTTTATTTTTGTTTTCTCATGAGTAGCAAACGCTGTAGCAAATTTCCCTGTGCCTCTGAGAGTGCTGCTGGTTAACTTCTGCATGTTTTCATGCTTCTGAAAGTTTGGCCATGCTGAGGCGGTGAACCGGTATGCGATTTTGATTGACAGCTGGCCTCAGAGCACACTCCAGGCAGGAAAGGACTAAGCCAGACGGAACCATCACCGTGATTGGCATCTGTCAGTGGAGGCATCTACCCAGATGCTGCCAAAGTGGGGCTCCACCTCAATATATTCACCTCATAACATCACATCTGAGCGCAGGGCACGCTACCACCTGAGGTTAACAGCTCTGGCATCACATTAAACCCCACACAGAATATTATATTAACGTTTTTAACAAAAAGGCAAGCACGTTTGTCAGCCATGTGGGTTTTTAATCAAATTTGACTGCTTGCTATTCTGCAAAGATTATCACAATTATAGCTTTTATGAACTGTATTGATCTTTAGGCAATTGGTTCACAATTCAAATACACCTTTCCATCAACCATTTTTCTGTATTCTGAGTTATGGTGAGGACTGCGCGAATTGTCGTCAATCAGTTCTAGTCATAATACTATTAATTAAATAGTTTAACTAAAAATTTAATTTTTTTGAAGAATATTTATGCAACAGAACAACCGTTTATGGTGAAAAAAGGACCAAAAAAATTGTGCATTGTATTTTTTTCTTATTCCAACTAGTTTTTAAAAATATATATACAGTATTATTATTAATAGTAACAATAATAATGATTATTATTATTAGTAGTAGTAGTGCTGAATATAATAAAAATGTTTAACAATTAATAATTTAATAATTGAAAAAAAAAAATTTATTACAGTTGTTTTTGATAAATATAACAATCATGATTACTGTGATTATTAGCGAATAAGACAAATAATTAGTGAAATTAACCTATAATAATAATAACTTCCAAAACAAAGCATTCAAAAACTAATTTAAACTTTAAAAAAAAAATCTATCATTTATAATTTCATGTGTAAATGTGTAACTAATTTCACACAAAGTCTGATAATTTGTACACATCTGTTACTTGGAAAGAAATTGGAAAGAATTGTTTTTTTGTTTTGTTTACAATGAAGGGAAAAATCACTAAAAGCATTATATTTTTTCCCCTTTTCCACTTTTGGAGTTATACAATAGCAGTGTGTGTCGAACAGACTGAAAAGAAAATAACCAAATATGATTTTTGGAATGAGTTTAGGTATGACACTTTCATATTCAGGTCAGTCAAGTCAGATGTGAATCCCGGTCACAGTATGGTGTCGTAAGGTACAGAGATTATGTCACTGTGAATTATGAGCTCGCTTTTGTTTGCCGCTTTTAAAACGCATTACGCTCAGAGCCAGGCGAAGCAGTTAGAGGGATGTTTTTGCTGGGGTAGAGAGGAGTAATGCTTTATAGCAGGAGGTCAGACTCAATCTTACCATTCTGCCTGCTCTCAATGTGACATTACCCCAGATCCCTCAGGCACAGAGCAGCTAATGACTTGTGATACACCACGAGCCATAGTCGCTGCCCACATCATGCACATTTCCGGAGATACAGAGAGATAGAGATGTGCCAACAGCAGAGTGCTAAAGCAGCAGTTTAAAAACTGAAATGGAGAAGGCCGCCCCAGGACTGCTGTCTGTTATATGATGCAGAGGCTGTGAGAACCGAAAGAACAGCAGTCTTCCCGCTCTTACCTCAGGCTCATTGCAGCGTCAGTGCTGGAAAGATCCCAGGGAACCGTTTTTGATGCCCAAATATTTTACTGTATTGTAATTCGCAGTCGACTGATTCACACTGGGCCTCTAGTGAGCCTCTTTTCTAATTTAGTACAACTTTGATCATTACAAATTAAATTACCAGCGTAACAAATTTAGTAGAATGTTGAATTTGTGACTCCTATTGTTTTAACAACATCAACATTCAAGCTGACATGAACAAAGCCTGATTTTCAAATTTAAATTTGTTTTTGAAACCCAGGTTTTCTGTTTTAATAGATTATAATAATATTTATTATTATTGTTATTTTATGAACAGCAATGAGTGGTGTTATTGATTATGACATAATAATAATAATAAATATTATTATTAATAATAATAACAACAGTAATACATTTCAGCATTTTCGGTTGTTTCATGTGCTAATTATAATAACAACATTGGTTGTTGTTGTTGCTATTGCTGATAATAAATAATAATATATAATCTGTAGCATTTTTTTGTGTCTCATTTGCTAATAATAATAATGGGAATGTTTGAAATATTTTCAATACATTGATATCATTTGGTATGGCTGATAAATGAACAAATATCATCCGCCATATCTACAGTATCATATCTAAATCGAATTAATATTTTAATATCATTTTTTATATTACATACATAACACTGATTGTCCAGTGTGCTCTGTATTTACATGAAATGATTTTGTGACTGTTTGTTTTGTTGACACTGTGCTTTTGTTTTAAGCTGAAAGCTTCACCGCAGCCCAGCACCGGTGGGGTCTGCTTTTCTTGTCCCCCTCCAACACCTCTCAAACCTATGGAAGCCCGTTTCCGCCACTGAATAAAGAATGTTAAAAATGTTATTGCGACTTTTTATCTCACAATTCTTTTTCAAAGAATTGTGAGATATAAACTCGTAATTGTGAGTTATAAAGTCAGAATTGCGTGATGAACTCGCTATTGTGAGACACAAAGTTGCAATTCTGAAAAACAAAGTCAGAATTGCTAGAAATAAACTCACAATTTCGAGAAAAAAAGTCAGAATTGCAACTTTATGTCTCACAATTGCGAGTTTATATCATGCAATTCTGACTTTTTAACTCGCAATTGCGTGTTTATATCACGCAATTGTGAGAAAAAAAGTCAGAATTGTGAGAAAAAAAGTCGCAATTACCTTTTTTATTTTTTATTCAGTGGCGGAAACAGGCATCTATACAAACCCGTCTCAGTATCTAAACTCCTCAACCAAAATGTCAGCCTCAATGTTAATTGTCTCCAAAATGGCAGGCGCAATCAGGCCCGCGTGTGCACGAAAACACAAACTCGCTGATTGATGCGGCTGCCTCTCCCAGCTCTAATGGCTTTGATCTTTTCCTCAGCTGAAAGGTCGCAGGGATTGAGGTGCCTGATGCTGCTCTGCTCTCCCCCGTTCACCGGTTTAGCCCACGCCGCAGCGAGAGAGCATTTCACGTCGTGTTTTATGCGCAGGGCTTGATGGATTCCTTCATTTGAGGAAGTGACACTGCAAAACGAGTCTGTAGTTCGATTTTATTCCCGCCATCCATCGCGGTGAAATATTAATGAGGGCATTTGCAAACGTGGAACTTTCAGATGTTTTTTTTATTCTTCTTCATTATACGCCGCGTCCCCCCTCCGAAAAAGTTACACCTCATACTTGGGCAAAGGCAATATTTTCTCAGTTTCAGTTTCAATGACTTTGTAATTGTAATTATCCCATGTACTGAAAATCTCATGAAGGGTGTTGCATAATTCAACAGATGGCAGAAACTTTGGGTTTCGGAGTCAGTAGTGAGATTTATCACTCCTCTCGCTGCTTCGAACTGACTTTCTTGATGTTTCCTGCCGCCTCGGCTCATAATAGTTATGACTCCTTTCCGTTAGTAGCTGAGGCTCTGAGTTCCACCTCTATTATGTTCAAGATTCCCATCGGCTTACATCATAACTTTCTGATGAAAAGACAGTCTTATTATTTATGTAATTGGTAGTTGAGTCAATAGCTCCTCAAAGAGCGCTTGATGAATCTGGTAATTACCCTGAGAATTACATCCGTTAGTAACCTCAGAGATTATGTGCTTTTATTGTTCATCAGGGACCAAGTGTTTGGGTTAGATGTCTGCTGAAGTCACTGATTTCTAGACCTTTATACTCCTGATGTTGTGTAGAGTATTGCTCGTTTCTCTTCTGTTTTACTTGCTTTTGATCTTACACTTTTATAAAGAATATCTCTTTGGATTTGAGACTTTAGTCTTTGCAACTTTACAGATCTTCTTTATGCACCAAGAGCTTGTAACACTCCAAAGAGAAAATTTAAATCGCATCATATGACCCCTTTAAGCAATAAAGTCGTTTTATGTGTTTGTGTTGCCAGCACGTCATCTGTGCTAAGAATGTGCAAATTTACTGCACATACAAACATTTCTCTAAAATCTTTAACTGTTTTTGAAAGAAGTCTCTTATGCTCATCAAGACTGCATTTATTTGATTTAAAAATACTGTAATAGTGTGATGTTAATACAATTTAAAAGAACTGGTTTCTGTTTTAATAGATTTGAAAAAATAATTTCTTCCTGTGATCAAAGCTGAATTTTCAGCATCGTTACTCCAGTCTTCATTGAAAGTGAAAGTGACGTGACATGTGGTGACCCATACTTGGAATTAGTGCTCTGCATTTAACCCATCCAAAGTGCACACACACCGTGAACACACACCCGGAGCAGTGGGCAGCCATTTTTTTGCTGCGGCACCCGGGGAGCAGTTGGGGGTTCGGTGCCTTGCTCAAGGGTTTCGAGACCTTTGGGTTAACGAATCCGACTCGCTAACCATTAGGCCACGACTTCCCACGATTGTCACATGATCCTTCAGAAATCATTCTGATATGCTGATTTGCTGCTCAAGAAACATTTCTTATTATTAACAATGTTGAAAACGGTTGACTGCTTAATGGTTTTGGAAACCATTATACATTTTTTAAGATCAGGTCAAAGAAAAGGAAGAAAGGTCAAAAAGTTTCAATAGAAAACTTCACTTTTGATCAAATTAATGTGTCTTTGCTGAATAAAAATATTAATTTCTTAAAAAAAAAAAAAGAACTCTTTTTGAAAGAAGAAAAGAAGAAATTTTTTTTAAGGCCAGATAGTTCACCCAGAAATGTAAATTCAGTCATCATTTGTGTTTTCATTTGCCTTTGGTTATAAATATTTGTTGCAAAAGCATGCTCAAACCCGCTTTTAAATATTCTATTCTTATTCTAATATTTGCCGATCAGCAGTAGTTGAGGTTTTACTTTTATTTGTTTCTGTAGCCTCCAAGAGTTTTTAAATGCGCTCATTTCATTCTCTCCAGATCTCATGAATTTCTCAGTTTTTGCGGCGGGAATGTGAATAAAGCAAGGTGCTAATTAGTCTTTACGGCTCATTTTCCACTTTTTCCCCTCTCGAGAAGCCCAAATTTACTGGATAATGAGGAGTAAAGGGACTCAGTTGAAGAACGGTGAAGAAAATGCCGGGTAGTCTAAAGAGGTTAATTGAAGGTCATTCTCGCCGTTTGAATCAATTGTGCTCCATTTGGAATCACAAGTGTCTTCAAGCATCATCTGATTAGGCGAATCCATCACAAGGCAGACGCTCGGCAGACACTCGGGAGGCGTCGGCGCTGTGACAGGGCTTTTATGGGCAGCCAGGGCCTTCATCTGAGAGCCTGTTTGTGTCGAGAGTGGCTTGTGAGATTTTGCGGGCAGCTGTGTGTGTCCATGGATCAGTGAGTCCTTGTGTCCTCTGTTTTTCTATGGCTAACTCTTTGTGTGTGTGTTTGTGGACAGGGTCCATTGGATGTTGGGTAAGGATCAGTAGAGCTTCATTCTCTTGTGTTTTTTTTCTTCCATGGCCAGCTGTTGTAGGTCTCAGCCCAGGCAGAATCTGCACTGCTCTGCCACTTTCTCCCATCAGCATCTCTACCAGGCTCTGGCCTCTGGCTCCACTGGGAGGCCTCCCTTTATGTTGTATTGTGTGTGCACAATCCATCAACCTACAATTCAAACTTTCTTCCTAATCACACTTATATACTGGACAGATAGAAAAGCGTAGGTTTTGATGGTGTGGAAAAGGCTATGTTAGTTTGAAATTTTCATTGATCAAAGGTAGGGATGGATTATCCAATAACCAACTAGTCATTCTTACCATTACCATTATTTTTCTAATATTTTAATGCAATTAATTTATTGTAGTGTTTAAATATTTTATGTTTTTATTTGTTTATATATATATATATATATAAAATATATTTATTTCTAGGTAAGTTATTAAACATGATTGTTTTATCAATTAATATAAATAATAATAATTATTATTATTATTTATATTTTCTAATCTTTGTTTAATTATTATTTTTTTCTAGTTTAATTATTTTAATGTTCTTTATATTTTTATCTGTTTTAATAAAAATGTTAATAAGAATAACAATAATAATTATTATGTTTCTTTAATTGTTATATTAGAATATATTTTTACAATATTTTTTTATTGTTAAATTATTTTTTATTTTTTAAATTATTTAAAACATGTTGCTTTTAATTTTTTTAATCTATGTTAATACTATTGAAAAGGAAGTTTGTTATTATTAATAATAATAATAATAATATTGATACTTTAGTTTTTTTAATAGTTTGAATTATTATTATTAATTATTAAGTCTTCAATTCGTTTAATTTTTTTTAATTTTCATATCTATTTTTTAAATATATGTATTAATAATAAACACAACAATTCTTATTATGTTTTTCTAATTATGTATTAAATATTTAATTATTGTATGTTTATTTGTATTTTTAAAACGTTTTTATTTCTAGCTTTCAATAGTTATTATTTGTTGTTATTATTGTAGATAGTTTATATATAAAATAGTTTGAATTACTGTTTTCATTTTTATTAGCTTCAGTGCATTAATTAGCATGCTTGACAGTCTGCTGTACTTCAGCTGCTCAGCAAAATCCTCTCTGAAAAGTTGTGTCTTTAAGTTTTCCCCCTTTAAGTCAGTGTTGCTATAGCCAGACACATGTAGATGAATGTCTTTGGCTGTTGTGTCACGTCACTCTGTTTTTGAGCAACCCACCAAAGTTTTGCATTTTTAAGAAAATATGTAGTAGTGCACATCCCTAGATTCTCATCTTTTGGCTGCACGAGTGTCACTTTCAGAAATCCTTGCGTTTTTCCTTTAGCTTCTTATGAAATCCCTTCAATGGATTTGCAACGTGTTATTATTTATTTATTTTTTGACATAGCATGAACTCTAGTGTGCCCTCAAACACAAACCCACATAAGCACAGGCTTCGTTTTCCAGCTCTTATAAACCCCTCTGAGCAGAAAGTCATAGATGAAAAGAGGAAAAAGGAAGCAAGCATTAGATACATGGGCTGTTGGCGGTTCAAAGCAGCAGTTGGACGGCATGCTGGGATTGTCACTCGTCTCCTCATCTCTATGATTTATACAGTGCAATAAGTGATGCAGAGATGGGCTAACAGGCCAATAGACAGCAGGGCATTAGCATAATGTGTGCAGCGGAGAAACGCTGGAAGACTGTTGCGCCTTTAAACGCAATAGGCCACATTTAGATTAGCTCTGCCTGCAGATGTCTTCCTTCATTGGGATTGGGGATCTTAGATATTCAGGATATGAAAATAAGAAAACCATGCTAACCAAAGTCCAGCTAACTGTGTTTGTTTTTGTCCCTGTTTATGCCAAAATATGCTCTGCAAGGCAAATCTAGTTTCCAATCCATTCATTTTGTTTATGATTAATAGAACGTTCAAAAGAACTGCATTTATTTGAAATCGGAATGTTTTGTAACATAAATATTTTTACTGTCACTTTTGATCATAATAATGTATCCTTGTTAAATAAAAGTATTAATTTCTTAAAAAAAAAAAAAAAGAAATTCCCACCAAAATAAAAATCACCCGGCCTTTTGAACGGTAGTTTAAGTCTCCGTTTCATGCACTGCACACCATCAATCCATTTAAATTCTCTTCATTTAGCCTGGCTTTATTTAGCAATTCATGATTGAAGATTCGTGTTTGTGCGTTCCCTTCCAAATACTAAATGAAATTCACAGCTCGAGGTAAATTCATCTCTAAAAGTAAACCCATATAAAGCACTAGAATGACTAAACGTGCCTGGAGCAACACAACAAGGTCTACCAATAGGAAAAGTAGCTCTGTTGCTCGAGTTTATAGATTAATCGTTTTTTTCTGTGATGTCTTTGAAGACATTGACGTCCTGTCATATGTCTCGTCCTGTAGAGATGTCCGTGAAGAGCTGAGGATAAAGAAGACAGTTGATGCCTGGATCAATACACTCAGCAAGGAGATTCAGGTGAGTTGAACTGAAAGATTTTGTCTCTTTTTCAGCCTTCACATACAATCTGGTGTTTCTGCACAATCTGTTAGTGTTCTTTGTTCTCCAAAATTAAAAGAGAAAATATTTGAATAGTCATTAGTGCTTTTTGCCTTTGATAATGCTTGGCATTGAACAGAGGTCTGCTATTACTTTTCCAATCATCGTTTATGATTATTTACCTGGCAGACAAAAACTCACCACATCATGCACTTCAAAAGTTTCTGAATTGTTTTAGCTTATATTACAGTGCACAATCCATTGAGCACACATGCAAGTGTTTCTGACTACAAGGTCTTCTCGTCTCTTTCTCCTTCTCTTTCTCCTGGCAGGATGAGCTGGTGAGGGAGAACTCTGAGAGGATTGTGGAGAGGAGCGATGCTGCAGTCTCTAAAGTGGTGCAGCAGGGCCAGGGGAGCAGGAGCGGACGTGTGGCTGGTCCGAGAGGGGGAGGAAGAGGAAGAGGAGGAAGTGAAACCTCTGCGGCAGAGAAGAAAACCTCTCTGAGAGGCTCAGTTAGAGCGCAAGCAGAAAACACACTGGCACACAGCAAACAACCCGCTCTGTCTGTCAGAACCAGACCTGAAGGGAAGCGAGAGACGGTGAGCAGGATTATATCAGTGTTATCCATTGCAGTGCCAAATGTGTTCACACAATGAACAGTAACCAAACTCTGAGGATCTGTTGCAATACCTAATGAGCTGCCTACCTAGACATCATACTCATGACTATTCCAGATAGTAGGCTGTGAAATAAGATACCTCATTTTGGTCAAATTTGAAATTTGTTAACACAGAATGTGTTTTTGCTTTTAAAAATACTAAATGCCGCACAGTAGCATTTAGCCACCTCGCTGATGGATGCGAAAAGATGGCAGTGTCTCGAGACGTGTTATAACTTGACAAAGCATTTTTAAAAATGTTGCTCGTGAGGGATTTAGGGGGTCTGTGGAAAATTTGAGAGAAAAACAAATATACAAAATGTATGTTTTAGGAACACTATTTATTGGGAAAAAATGAAATGAAATTAAACTTGTTTTTTATTTTGGTTTATACATATCTCTCTAATAGTGGATAGAAAAAAGATACACTTATTAGAAATATATACATATAGAAAAATATAAGACATAAGATAAATATAATCCCAATAAAGTTATGTATGTATAACTTAATGTATATAACATTTATTTATTTTGTTCGATTTTTTTCTTTATTTTAGTGTATTTTGTATGCTCCACTGTATATTTAATTTTCAATTTATTATTTACAATTAATTATTGTGTTTAGGTAGAATAGGTCTTTTCATTTAAGTATTAAATGAATAGCTAAATAATTTATGTGGATAGATAGATAGATAGATAGATAGATAGATAGATAGATAGATAGATAGATAGATTTCGGCCATTCGGAACTATTCTGTTAGCCAAAACACAAACATTAGAAATAAACCATATTGTCAAAATCACTTAAATGTAAGCATATTTATTATTAAATATAATTCTGAATTGTTGAATGCCTTTCAGTTTTACAACAGTCAGCTATTATTTGCGGATACCATAAAAGAATAAAATGGGAATAAAAATATAAGATTATCTGGAATCAGCATGTTTTGGGGTTCTTGCCATTAAAAAATCTGAAAACCCAGACTTGCTGTATGAGGTCTCATTTTGGTTTGGATGCTGCCTATGTAGGCAGTAGATTATGATTATATGACACTAGAGCTTTATAATTGGCTCTTTGGCTATGGTCCAAATCATCTGTGTGTTATATTGAAACTGATAATGTAGGTTCTGTTAACCTATTTGTTTGCAGTGTTTGTTCCTGTATGTTGTTTACTTAGCACCGTGACCTGACAAGCTCACAACACTCCCAAAATGGCCCATCTGGATGTAAACACTGTAGCTCAATACTTCTCTGTGTCTCAGTGGCATTTTCTCTAAATGAGCCGCTTTGAGTACCCATATGCTGCCCCGACACTAATTTGCTAAAAATAAAGAGCGAGAAGACGAGAGGCAGGCCTGTCTTATCTGTGTTTGGCACAAGCCTGGTCCTGTTAATGGCCGTCGATGTTGCCTGGTGTTTGTGTGGATGTTTCTTAACCTAGCAACACATCCAGTGGTTATCTGAAGGTTACTATGTCTGCGGGCCGTTCAGGCATTTAATTGCTGCTATAGCTGCTATCGGTAAAGGTGCAGTCAATCCAGACAACAGAGCACACAGTTACAAAAGGTTGAGCGTTATTTTGCTGGAGACACTCTCAGGTTGCCATGAGTTTTAGATGAAACTAAATGAAATCCATATGGCAATACCTCACTTTACATAAGCAAAGTTATCATTTTCTACTTTTTAAACACATTCTGATCAGTCTTATAGCATGTAGTCTTTCATATATCTGTATATTTACTGTGCCATGTTTGCTGTAGATATGAGTGTTTTGTTTTTGTTTTTTTATACATATCAGTGTATAGAAGTATAATGTACTGTACCATTTTTACCATAGAAATTAGTGTATTATAGTATTAGTATACCATGTTTACCATATATATGAGTGTAGTATAGCGTAGCATAGTTTACCCTGTTTACCATTTTTTGAAAGAAATACTTTTATTCAGCAAAGACACATTAATTTGATCAAACAAGACATTTATAATGTTACAAAATTCTATTTCAAATAAATGCTGTTCTTTTGATTAATAATAATAATTACTGATAAATGCTGAATAATAATAAATGCTGTTCTTTCTATTTGTTTTCTAAATAAAACAAATAAATAAAATAAAATAATCCCAAATCTTGGTTTCAAAAAATATTAGCAATACCTGCTGAAAATCCAGCTTTTCATTACAGGAATAATTTACATTATAAAATATAGTCAAATAGAGAACCGTTAGTTTAAATTGTAATAAAATTGCGTGATATTTTTGTTTTTGCTGTAATTTTGTTTAAATAAATGCAGCTTTGGTGAACGTAAGTGGCTTCTTTCCAAAACATTAAAAAAATCTCATAGATCCTAAATTTTCAAATGTAGTGTAGAAGTGAGCATAATATAATATAGTTACCTTAGTTACCATAGATATATATTATAATATAGTATATATGTTATAATATAGATGTGAGGATAACAATATAGTTTACCATGTTTACTATAGATGTGATTGTTATATCATAGATGTAAGCGTAACATAATATATTTTACTATGTTTACCATCAATGTGATGAAATCATAATATAGTTTACTATAGATATGAGTGTACTGTATCATAGCATATTGTGCCATGTTTACCATACATACAGTATAATGTATAAAATGGCATGTTGTTACACAGTTTGTTGATGGAGTGTGTATTATTCTTTCAGGCTCAGCCGGTTGGGATAAAATCTCAGGATGATCGGGAGTATCTGGTCAGGCTGTATGGAAAAGCCCTTTATGATGGCCATCGACGAACACTTAAAAAAAGCCCTTACCTTCGATTCAACTCCCCCACGCCAAAATCCAAACCGCAACGACCGAAAGTAGTAGAGACTGTCAAAGGTGAGGTAAAGGTCTTCAATTAGTAATTCTTTTCGTTTTATGTTTTGTTACGTTATAGGACTATATTTTTAATAGGGACATTTGTTTGACTGTACTGCCTAGCAACCTGCAAAAAAGTCTTAACAAACGACATGAAAAATAATCGTGACCACCCCTAATTTTGCCTTTTCTGTCCAAGATCTTGAACTTGTCCCTCCCTTTTCATTCGCTCAAATAGGGGTGAAGATGAAGTCATCTAAAACCCAAACTAGCCAGTTTGTGGATGATGGTCCTGTGCTGCAGTCTTCAGTTTCTGAGCCCCATTTCCTGTTCAGCCCCAGTGATCCTGCCCAACAGCAGCAGCCTGGCTCTCCAGTGCGAGGTTACCTCGTTCCCATGGCCATACCTTTAGGTAAGCCACCGTTAGCATGCGTAGAAATCACTCAGAATCACTGCTAGGTCTGCATGATTAGGAAAAAAATCTAATTGTGATTTTTCTGATAAAATTGTGATTGTAAAGCTGCACAATTTGGCCAAAATTTTGTGATTACAGTATATGTCAACATGGCTATATAATAATAATATGAATAATAATCATCATTATTATTATTATTAAATATATATATAATATTTGCTAAATAAAAACAATATAATAATAAGAAAAATAATATAATAATATTTTATTTTACATTAGAATCTTAAAACTAATATTCTAATATTTGGCTTAATTTCTTCAATTTCAAATGTTAAACCTTTCAACTTATATTTTGATGAAAAACTGCAGAGAGCTCTTAAAGCTTCACTTCTGTTGATAAGCTCTTCTCATTACATGTATGGGAAGATGGTTGGGGTGTTCTCAAATGCATGTTAAAGTGACCCAGACTCAGAGCAGATGCAGAGATTCACTCTGAAGCACGCAGCTCATTTTTATTTAATTAAATCGCAGCCTTTGTGATTTGATAATTACACTATGCCAAATTGCAATTTTGGTTGCATTTCAAATAATCATGCCGCCCTATTCATTGCTTATTTTCTTATATATTGCAAGGGTGCAGCTAAATTTGATGTAATGGGAGTTCTGTTTATGACCTCATGATTTTGCATCAGGATTTTGTCTGTGATGCCTAAAAATACCTAATACACACACATGTTTGACACAGTGTTTGCTGTTCGGTGTCCATTAAACCTCTGACCATTCTGAAACAAAGACGTCTGATGCAGCATGAATGGTTGAGACAGCCTCCACATGCTGCAGTCATAAAGCGTCTCTCCTCTGGCTGGCTCTGAGCACACGCCAGCATTAAAGAATGGACTTAATTAGACAGACATTTCAGCGGTGTGAGTTTAGCTCTTAATTACGGCTGCCTCTACACTCGTTAAAAGCCTTACTATGCCGCTCTCCGTTTAATCACTGCCAGGGACATTAATGCCTTTCTATTACACTCTCAATTTCCCGCTTCCAATCACTGTGAACTTCGTCTCAGATCCGACCTTGTGCGGTTGGAGGTAATTCTGTTTATTAGCCTGAACAGCCATATGAATGAAAACACCGTCATGCTTTACGAGGGCACTTTTTAGGGCAGTAATTGCAAATAGCCAATTGAAAACATTTTGAAAGCGTTCATATTATGAGTTGATTAGTTTCTTATATCCCATCCCCCCTTCCTTTTGAGGATTACAACCTCCTGGCACCGAAACGATCCATTAGTTTGCTAACAGCTGAATTGCTGTCGTTATTTTCTGCAATGGACTGAAGAGGTAATTAAAGGTATTACATAAAAAATGCCAATGACGAAACCTTTAGCTTCAGCTCCGCTAAAGCTGTTTACAGTATTCAAATGTTTCCCAAATTGTGGCTCAGGGTATAGAGAATGAAATGAACTAGCAGTAATGAAAATGGCCTAGTAATGTTTGAAATGGCAGGTGGGCTGTTGCCTGTACGCTGGACTGACCTCTGATCTGAGCTACGCTAGAGTGAACAAAGACTGGCTAATCACATCTGCAATGCAGTGGCCCTGATCGCCGTTGTAGACACTGAACTCCCTTCATGGTTATATTGAAGTTCCTTTCACTACTAGATGCATTATTGGAATTCTTCTAAGGAATAACTGCAGCTAGAATGCTAATGTTGTTAAAATATTAGAATTGAACATTAGCCTTTTTTTACATTTATGTAACACTAATGTTTGTTTTTTGTGCATTTGTGCATGTCTGAAACAGACAACTACTGCAGAATTGTTCCTGAAGTGACGAGAAGTGTGGACCCTTAGACTTACTTAGTCTAGTGTATATGACATCCTACTAACTAGACCAGTGTCAAACTAATTATCATAAACCAGCCTGGAAATTCATGCTGATCAGAGCTCAACAATAAGGGTTTATTTCTTATATTTTCTTTTATTTATTTTTATAATTTTCATTGGTCCCACCACATTTTTTTTAATATTATGTATTTATTATTTATTTAGTGTTGTTTTTTTTTTTGTTTTTTTTGCAGTTTTTAAACGTTTTTAGCAGTTTTAGTATCCTCTTAAGGTGACATACTCTGAAGAAAATTTATTTATGGTATGACAAATCAGATTAAAATTAAGACTTTTATAACAGAAGGATTTTTAAAGTTAAAAAAAAAAGTTTGTATTTTTAATTACATATACTTCTTTTCAAATCTTTCTTGCTTTATTGTAACATTACCTTGACATATTTACGTCAGCAGAATTACCAAAAACTTTTAAATAAATCACATCATCACAGAAAACCATATGTTTATGTTTGCAAGACATAAAACCACACATGATCAAATCATTGAAATTTGCTCAACTCTCACACTGAGCCATCTGGCCTTGTTGAGCCATGCTGGTCTTCTCAGCAAGGATGCTGAGGGAGGGTCTAAAATGAAAGTGCAAAGCAAGTTAAACACGTTCTCCAACATTTCAGAGCATCACCATCTCATTCCCAAAATCAGACCCGTCTAACTTTCATCTTACGAAAGTGAAGGATCTCCTGATAACTTCTTTAATACCCCACATCAACTAAAAGCAGTCTACCAGACTTCTACCAGTCGAGGCGATTCCCAAGGCATCTTAATCGTCCACCAGTGTCATCCTTGTGGCTGTTCTATTTCCCGTCACACCGAATGTGTGAATGAAACCCAAGCGGAAAGTTCCAGACTCTCATTAAAAACCTCCCAGCCACTTCTGTATTAGTATCTGTGAAGGAGAGAGTCCAGATCGGGCCAGCCTGGATTGGATTGGCTCGCCAAGGCTCAGACTGAGTCTCTGGAGGGCTGTAGATTAGAGCTGGCTTAATTTCCCTCTCTACCGTGACTCTGGGGACAGCAGTGGGAATTGCGGCGCACCCCATGGGAATGGTGAGAGAGCCTTTCATCTGCTGCAGATGTTCGTTGTGGCTCATCCACAGACGGCCCCCGAGTCACAGTTACACGCGAACGACAGCAGACGAGCTCTCCGCAAATCTGCTTAGCAAGTTCTGCACTCCGAGAGTAGAAAGTGGCAGTCGAATCAACACAGCAGTTATCAAGGGAAGTCAGAGTTTATACAGTTTACAGCAGCATTCCCATTTTCAGTCTAACTCAGGAGCTTTTATGATACTTTTTTCTTTCTTTAAATAATAACAGGGTTGTTCTATCTATCTATCCATCTGTTTGTCTTTGTCTGTCTGTCCGTCCATCCATCCATCCATCATCATTCTGTCTATCCATTCATCAGTCCATCCATCTATTGTTCTAGCTCTCATCTAGCTATCGTTCTATCTATCATTATATCTATCTAAAGGGGGAAGTCGTGGCCTAATGGTTAGAGAGTCGGACCCATAACCCAAAGGTTGTGGGTTTGAGTCTCGTACCGGCAGGGATTGTAGGTGGGGGGAGTGAATGTACAGCACTCTCTCCCACCTTCAATGAGGTTCCCTTGAGCAAGGCACCGAACCCCCAACTGCTCCCCGGGCACCGCAGCAAAAAATGGCTGCCCACTGCTCTGGGTGTGTGTTCACGGTTTGTGTGTGTTCACTGCTGTGTGTGTGCACTTTGGATGGGTAAATGCAGAGCACTAATTCCAAGTATGGGTCACCATACTTGGCCACATGTCACGTCACTTTTTTCACTTTCATCTATCTTTCCATCTGTCATTCTGTCTGTCTATCCATCCATCCATCCTGTCTGTCATTCATCCATCCATTTTTCTATCTATATATCTATCGTTCATTCTATCGTTCTATCTATCTATCCGTTCTATTGTTCTATCGTTCTATCTATCGTTATATCATTCTATCTTTCTCATTCTGTATGCCTGTCCATCCATCCATCATCGCTCGCTCTATCTGTCCATCCATCCATCCATCAGTTTAATTCCTCTTCCTTACATTCAAATTTGAATTGCAATTAATTCTCAATTAATTTCTGATTTGTGCACAACTTTGTATAATGAACAATCTTTTTTCTTTTCTTCCCCAAACGTATTATTGATTATTGTTCTATCGTTCTATCTATCGTTATATCATTCTATCTTTCTCATTCTGTATGCCTGTCCATCCATCCATCATCGCTCGCTCTATCTGTCCATCCATCCATCCATCCATCAGTTTAATTCCTCTTCCTTACATTCAAATTTGAATTGCAATTAATTCTCAATTAATTTCTGATTTGTGCACAACTTTGTATAATGAACAATCTTTTTTCTTTTCTTCCCCAAACGTATTATTGATAAAAAAAAAAGAATCCTTGTGAAGACTCATAATTCACACACTGATTTCTGCTCTTGTTTGGCCGAGATGCTTTGATGGCTCATGCTCACTATAGCTTGCTGTCTCTGAGGTGAATTCCTGGTGGTAGCCCCAACGGTGAAGATGTGACTAAATTGCATGTGGTTGCAGAAGCGGGGCGTGTGCACACATATTTATGTGCATTTATTTAGTTTTAATCATCTCATCATCGCTCTCTCCATCATCTTTCCCAGGTCTCCTGATGCTGTGTCCTCGGGTCCAGTAAAGTCAGTGATTTACATGTTCTTGGATGTATTCCCAAGCATTTTGGGGGCTGTGAATTCTGTCCCTTCATTCGGGTCTTTGTTTCCTTGCACGCCTTGTGGCTTCTCTGGTTTGCATATACCCCGTAATAGCATCTCTTACTGTCCATCATTGTGCTAATCAGTCCGATCTGGTTTCGCATTTCAGAGCGCACACACTCTCTTGAGGTTCTGGAATACAAATGCCTCCTTTCAAGCTTTCCTTCAGCAGCAGCCACATGTTTGCTATCAGAAGTATTTGTGCATTCCAGATGAGTCAGTGCTTCTTGCTCCTGAGCCACTGTTTGGATGCCCTTCAGCCAAATTATGGAAATCGTAAAGCTTATGTTTCCCCTGCTTTGCATTGAAGGCTGGGAAAAACAGATTGCCGCGCTCACAGCAGATTTATGCTAATGCCAGTCTCCTCGTTCACCGTTAATGTGCCGAGGCCAGACTCACGTCTTTATGTAATGGGGCATATGTGTCTATAACATGCCTTCCTGCAAACGGGGATGATACAAACCCACTCTAGAGCACTCTGGCTGAACCTGTTTCTCTCACGGCCCCGTTGCAGAACAGATGCCAATCATGTTGGCATCCCGCTTGGCCAGATGTGTGCAAATGTGTTTTGGGCTGACACGGCACTTTAAAGTACCGTGGATGTCCTTTGCAATCGCTCTGCGGTGTGTTGAGAGATGAAGTAATAAGTAGGTGTGTGTGTGTGTGTGTGCGGGCTCCATCTGCAGGAGTGCGTCTGTCTTTAATATCCCTCTTGCGTGAGTATTAGGGTGGCGTTGTGCCCTTGCCTCTAAACAGCGTGTTGATGTTATCTGTGCTGCATCAGGACGATGGATGTGCAGACTTTAGGACTGTTTGGCAGAGGTGCGTTTAGGCTGCCGGAGTGTATTCCTTGTGCACTCACGCATCCTGTGGAAAAAAGATTTTGTGTTTAATGTCGCTTCTAGCTGTTATGATAATGTTTCACTCTGCAGACATGTTCACGTATCCCCAATGCCTGAATAAAAAGGTGACTTTTTTTCCTTTTTGAGTGTGTAGGTAAGTAAATAAGCAGTCATTTAGTAGATAATTTTATCCAAAGCATATTGTGCACAAAACGGTGAGCACTTCAGGCAGGGGTGTCTAAACTCACTCCTGGAGGGCCACTGTCTTGCAGAGTTTAGCTCCAACCCTAATTAAACACACCTAAACCAGCTAATCAAGGTCTTACTAGACATACTAGAAACATCCAGGACACCAGCTCTCCAGGACAGAGTTTGGAGACCCCTGACTTCAGGCAATGCAAATTGTATTTTTTACATGTCAGTACTTTCTGAAATGCGTTTCATAATGCAATGTAAATGCGTGTTTTTACACAAACTCTAACTTTTTGGTCACAATCCAAGATCATCAACCACTACATGTATCTCTGTAGGTAAGCCCAGAGTGAATGATCAGGCCCCAATATATACTAATACTTAATTTAATTTTAAAATAAACAAATATATTTTTCAAATAAATAATGCATTTTTAAAGCTTTAGTCTATTTAGAATATTGTGATGATTTAAGGCCTGTTCTCACCGAGGATGGTAACTATATCGATTACTATAAAGTTTTAATTATCATTCTAATTCTGTCAGAATTAGAAACTCTACATCATAGCTAGAATGATAAGAACATAGAAGAACGATATTCTTGTTATCACTTTCAAAGTGTTTTTTTCCCAGCAGATGAATGATAAAAAGACATTGACAGCCAATCAGAACCATCCGACTTTAATAAGCTTGATTTAAAGCAGCAGAAGACCAAACGGCAGTGCGCACTTATAATAAACAGAACGATATTGTGTGTTGGTGTGGACACTAAAATAATTATCGTTATTGTTCTCTTTATTGTTATTGTTTGTGATGTGAACAGGCTGTTCAAAAGGGAGTTTTCTACTATAATTTAATCTTTTCGAAAGACACAAAAAGTAATGTACAAGACCACTTCAAGCAATACAAATTCAATTTCACATGTCATTACTTTCTGAAACGCAAATCATAATGCAACGCAAATGTGGGTTGCTATAGAACCTATAACCTTTTAACTACAATCCAATGGTCTCTAGGTAAGCCCAGAGTGGATGGCCAGGCCCCGGTGCCTTCATGGGTCATCATTAGTGACAAACCAGCAACTGTAACAACCTCCTTCCATTCCATCACTGTTCCTGAACCCAAACCTGCTCCTGCTATTCGGAAACCCAACACCATCTTACTGGAGGTCCAGTCAGAACTGAAGAGACGGACCCCACAGCTCCAAATACAGGTAAGAGCTGTAACAAACAGTAGTATCTCAGTTTTACATTTTTGTTTCTTTTACAATTAAAAGATAATTATATTAATTAAGTATCTGGACAGAAGTAATGGCACTGTGTGATAACCAATTAATATGATAGTGTGAGGCAATAAATAGTTTCTTCCTTGGTATTACAAGTTTGGACTCAGTAAAAAAATGTAAAAACAAAGTAATACTTTTATTAAAAAAATGTTTTAAAGACATGTATAATTTTACAAAAGATTTTAGTTTCAAATAAATGCTTTTGAACTTTCTATTCATCAAAGAATCTTCTATCACAGAAAAATGTATCATGGTTTCCACAAAAATATTAAGCAGCACAACTGTTTTCAACATTGATAATGAAAAGAAATGTTTCTTGAGCAGCAAATCAGCATATTAGAATGATGTCTGAAGGATCATGTGACACTGAAGACTGGAGTAATGATGCTGAAAATTCAGCTTTGCATCACAGGAAAAAAAATACATTTTCAAATATATTTAAACAGAAAAGTTTTTTTATTTTTAACTAGCAATAATTTTATTTTTTTCATCAAATAAATGTAGCCTTGGTGAACATAAGAGACTTCTTTCAAACAATAAAAAATCTCACCAACCACAGACTATTGAATGGTTGTGTATGTTTGTTGCATTATGCTGAATAACTCTACCCACAGTGAAATGTCATTGGTTCAGAAATCACACTCCTGTGAGGTAGCATGTTTATCTCATATATATTTTGATTTTGTCAAAATTTCACTTTCCTGCTGCAAGCTGAATGGCTATTGTTCCACATGCTGTTTTCATTCAAATGGATTTGTGTTTTGTTTGCAGGTCCAGCCTGGTGTGAACATTGAGAGTGGTCTGTGCTTCCGGCCAGCTTCCGCTACACCATTGATTCCAGCCGAAACCATCCTTCCTCCACCGTCAACCCATGTAAAACCCAAATCACCAACTACACTAAGTAGACCCTTATTTGGTTGACCTTAGTAGCACTTCTCCATATTTCAGTTTTGTACCAAAGCAATTGCTAATACTTCTGCAGACTTTCAGATGTATCATACACCCAGAACATACGTCATCTAACATGTACATTTGCGTGTGTGTGTGTGTGTGTGTACATACACCAGCTGGTCTTGGCTCCGTTCTGAGAATGGATGGATATTATGCCATTAGATTTTGACTGTGCTCCAGCATGCTGTACTGCTATAAGGGTCGGTTTTGTTCCAGGTTTGCATTTCTCATCGAACTGCCATTGATTTTTGCCAAGCCGTGCATGCTTGTGCGCTCGTGCTCTCAGAACCTGCTCGAGCGGATGAAGATGGATGAGGTGTGTGTGTATGGAGCTGAATGTATAATGTTTCAGGGGGGACTTTGCCGGCAGCGTTTTCTGCTCTTACTCCTCCAATCCTGACCTCAGCCATTCACATCTGGTTGCTAGGCAACAGATACAGCTACATAGCTTTTCTGTGGGTTCGTTAGCAGATTCTGAGCAAGCGTCTAGGAGGACAACGCCTCTTTGTGGTCTGCCTGCTGATGTTAGCATCAGAGCAATCATTACAGCTCTCTGGAAGTAAGCGTAGATACGCATCTTCTATATTCAGGCTAGAATCTTCAGGCTAGTTCATTTGTAGTTTCCTTTTGACTATGCATTGAGGTTGAGTTCACAATTAATCACATCAAAAATGTAATTTAAAAATAAAAATCAACACATTTTAAAACTTAAAATGCATTTCTATATAAGTAAATAAATATAAATTTTTATAAAATAAACAATAAAAATTTTTTAAATAAAGCTTTAGACTGTTTTTAGAATATTGTAAAGATATGTGTGTGTGTGTGTGTGTGTGTGTATATATATATATACATACACGAGCACATACTTGTGTTCCCACATCAGTTTCAATTTCATTGTAACAGCAGCCTAGACATCCAGCTGATGAACTATATGAGCTGTCTGAAGAATCTTTTTTTTTTTCGATTTTATTACTATTGTTGTTGAAAAAAAATCATTTATCACAGTGTGTTTATCATAATGCTTTTGCATGTTTTTGTTAAAGCAGTAGACTTTTAAACATATTCAAATCTACGCACTACAGATAGTTTATGTATATACATATGTCTTCCTCTCAGATCCTGTGCCTGATGCATCTCGTCCAGCTGATGAACTATATGAGCTGTCTGAAGAATCTTTTTTTTTTCGATTTTATTACTATTGTTGTTGAAAAAAAAACATTTATCACAGTGTGTTTATCATAATGCTTTTGCATGTTTTTGTTAAAGCAGTAGACTTTTAAACATATTCAAATCTACGCACTACAGATAGTTTACAAACGGGTGCGAACACATATGTCTTCCTCTCAGATCCTGTGCCTGATGCATCTCAGCAGAGGTGTTCTGGTCTGCCAGCTCAGCATGGCTGCGTTCAGCACTCTGTCTGTGCCCAGTTAATGCCCATGACTCATCAGACTGGCAGACCCCAGATTCTACCCACACGCACACACAAAGACATGGGCAAGGACAGACACACAAACCCACAGATCCTACCGACACGCTTTGAATCATACACTTCAGTCCCACCAGGCCTGAGGCCTGTCAAACAGAGGAAATGAAATATGACTAAGAAGTCTCACAGTGCTTGCGCTTAAAACATATGATATCTCCGTCCTCTAAGACTTGACTTTTTGAGTGCATTGAAGTCACCACTGCCTTATACTGTTTCAAAACCAAATGTTGTTCTTTGAGAAAATATTGTGATAGATTGATTTTTGTAGACCTTGCAGACATAAATGAATAGTTCACCAAAAAAAAAAGAAAACTCTATCATTTATCATTCTATCACACCCTCATGTCTTTGCAAACCTGTATGACTTTATTTTATATGTGGGACACAAAATTTGAATAAGACAGGGACTGTGAAGGACCCAAAAAGCACCATAAAAGTGGATTCATGCACAGTATTTCAAGCCCTCTGAAGTCATATGATAGTTTTTTTTTTTTTATGAGACCATTTTTTTTTAATAACCATTAAACTAGCACAGCTACATTACTAAGTTTCGGGTCATTATTTTTATTTTTATTTTATTCGCTGTTTTTGAAAGAAGCTTCTTATGCTCACTAAGGCTGCATTGTTACAATTTAAAATTTCTATTTTAATATTAAAATTAGGGGTGTAACGGTATTCAAACCGAACCGAAAAAACGCGATACACCACCCACGATACATCTCGCTGTACACTTGGTCAAAAACTCTCGAGCGCTGTGTGTGTGTGTGTGTCTCATCGGTAGCGCCTGCACACACGGAGAGCCGTGCCGTGCCATGCAAATATTGATTTCAAGACTTGCGTTTGAACTTACAAAAATATGTCAACATGTCCGTCTTTGTGAGTATCCTTGCAAACATCGTTGGTCATGTCTTAAGTGAACACAACAGTCGAGAAAGACAAACGCACTCAGTATCAGTATCAGTGTACTGGATCTGTGAATTATGTCTTAACGGAACAGCAGTCTATTCCTGCTGTCTGTGTTTTTAATGTTAAACAACAAAAGACAAGGAAATCACTCACTTCTCTTAATTGAATAGCTTTTGTAACTCCAACAAGGATTGTCTTTAATTTATGCAGTGCACTTGTTTACTTTTAAATTTCTCTGCCTGAAAATGACTGTTAACGCCTGAAAAACACTGTTTATTTTATTTTATTTGTATCTTTGCTCTATTGTATTTATTTGTGCTGTTGCATTTAGATTATTTGCTATTATTTTCTTTATTTTTATTTGACCATAGTCCCTTTTTCCATGAACATAGCACCGTGAACCGAACCTTGAGCAATGTGAACCATTACACCCCTAATTAAAATGTAGTGTATTCCTGTGATGCAAAGCTGAGTTTTCAGCAGTCATTACTCCAGTCTTCAATGTCACATGATTCTTCAGAAATCATTCTAATATAATGATTTGCTCCTCAAGAAACATTTCTTAATATCAATGTTGAAAACAGTTGTGCTGCTTAACATTTTTGTGAAATCCATAATACATTTTTGCAGGATTCTTTAATTAATAGAAAGTTCAAAAGAACAGCATTTATTTTAAAATATGATTTTTCTGTAATAGTGTAAAAATCTTTATTGTCACTTTTGATGAATACATTTAATAATTAAAAAAAAAATTATGTAATCTGAACCCTTACTTTCGAATGGTAGTGTAAGTCGACAATCAATTATAAAGTTTCTGCGGTCATTAATATACACATATTTCACCGCAGAATGCTGTGATTGTCCGTTCAGAAGCAAGTATCTCAGAGAGTCTAAGATGTAATAATTGGATGCAACAAATGCAACAAAAATGTCTTCACTGACTATCCAGGATAAAACACTGTAATTCAGCTCTTATCAATTATATAGGTGACAAAAGAGCTTTTAAAATCTTTCTTTAGTGCGTTAGCAGGACATTTCAATAGAAACATGGTTTATAACGCTATTTGTCTCTCATACTCGGCACTCTCGTACTCTCATTCACATGATCAGACCAACTCTCTCTGTTACCATGGAGACGAGACTTAGCTGCATGAGACAAAGACCTGGAAAACTGATGCGTGATTTTCTCACACACACACACACACACACCTCTTAAACAGCTGCAGTTTGTGTCCTTGCACTGAATGATTCATTGAATCTTTGTAAGGAGACCCTGTAAGGACACCCTTGAATCTCTCTTATAAGATCAGAGGAAATGACATCGGTTGATGAGACAGCGTTGTGTGTGTGTGTGTGTGTGTGTGTGTGTGTGTGTGTGTGTGTGTGTGTGTGTGTGTGTGTGTGTGTGTGAGAGAGTGTGAGATCAGTGTCATGTCTGCGACCACCACCATTTGAGGATTCATTTAAGCTATTTCAGGGCATTAAGTTTTTTTTTATTTTATTTTTTACAATAGTTCACTTAAAAAGGACAAATTCTGTTAACATTTTCTTACCCTCATTTCAATCCAAACTTGTGTGATTCTTCAGTGGAGCACAAAAGGAGATGTTTTGAAGAATGTTCATGCTCCTCTTTTCCATACAAATGGAAGCCTACAGTGATTGTGGGCTTTCAAGGTCCAAAAAAAAACACCATAATGGCACCATAAAAGTAATCCTTATGACTTGTGCGAGGTCATACGATAGCTTTATCTAAGGCACAGAGTGTAATTCTTCCGTCATTTTTCAAAATGTCTCATAGAAAATCATGAGGGTGAATTTTCATTTTTGAGTGAACTGTACTTTCGTTTCATGACAACTTTAAAGGAAACAACATATCTTTTCTTTAGTATTAACGTACATCCGAATAAATTTGATCTATAACATTATGATCTATAACATAGATGAATTTCCATTTCATTGCAACTTTAAATCCACACTACCCTACTTTATGGTCAAGTATCGTATATGTTCCAGCCTGTCATCATTATCCTTATGAACTCATACACTTACAACTTTCTAATCTCCCCAGCCGTTGATGAATTTTGTAATTTCCAGACACCGCATTGCTTCCTGACCTCTGTCTCCGTATCATTGCCTCCCAGGCCGCCGAGGAACTGCATGCTGGTGAAGATCAGGAGGAAAATATCTTTCCCGGAACCAATTTCTTGGCTGTAGCCGACATCAGCCAGGTACATTCAATTAAAAGCACATTTCAACCCACACACTCACTCATAATGTAAAGGTCATTTCACAACCTGGTGTCCACCCTGAGGGTTTCCTACTTCATTCCCATTTGCATTTTGACCCAGCTACAAATGCCCATTCTCCACGTCTCCTCCTACCAGAAATATTGGCCATCAATGGCTGAGTGCTCCAATAATGAGATTTTCTGAGCCAAAGGGGGAAGGAGAATATCGTTTTCTTTAATTAACGAAGACCAGAGAATGAATGGGAGTTTAAAATAGCATTCATGGGTTGGGGAAAAATCTAATTACAATATGCACGGCTAAATTGGCCTTTCAGTGAATTGATATCGAAGGGGTGTGATGCTGTATTGCCGATATTAGTCTTTGTTCCATCAGGAATTCTGCTCACATCACGGCTCGCTCAAGCATACACACGGAGACATAATCCCCTTATATTTACCGCTAACAAGAAGCACAGGACGCCCCGCGTATTGGGCATTAGGCCGATCCTGTCGCTCGGTTGTACAAGGGCAAGGCGTCAGTTAGCACCGAAACAGCATAGCAGTCATTAAGCAGGAGGTGGAGGCTGTTCTCACAGGCTTTTATGGAAGGTGCTGGGAAAAAGAGTGTTTATAATGAGAATAAAGAATCATGGAGGGGGTTGCGCTCCAAATCACATGAGCTGTTCCACAGTGACCCCTTTTGGTCTGTAAGGGAACATCATCCACAGATTTTGGTTCTGGAACATCATCCTCGGTTTGATCTGATCTCTGGTTAATAGAGGTTTTGCGATGGAAGGAATTTATTTTGCAGCAATGAACCAGAAGTGTTAATTGTTCTTAGATGTTTGGCATTAGAATTTGAGTGGCTGGATTTTAGGAGGTTTGCCTCAGAGATACTTTGAAAAAAAGCTTATGTGCATTTTTTGCCCAATACTTAGACTTTCTGCAAATTGGAGGCTCTATGTCGGTGGTTCTCAATGTTTTTGACTAATGAATATTGTCCAAGACCATATTCAGTTTTATTTACCCAAACTAGTCATGGTAATATATTGAAATAATAAAATATAATAATTGCTAGTATTGGCAATATATTAAAATAATAAAACATAATAATTGCTGGTATATTGGCAATATATTAAAATAATAAAAAACATTGAATATAAATAATGAAAATTGCAACAATTATAGAATTTATTGAATGAATACTGAATGCTTTATAAGTAATGAATTTACATGATTTTTTCAGTCGTTTGTGATTGAGATTTTAATAAATAAATAATTTTTAATCACAGTTAGCAATTTCTCAGGAGTTTCTACCTGATGAAGTATTTAGAGCTTGGCATAAAAATTCCCATAGACACTAAAATTACAATTACTGACAGAACAAATTAAAATAAATATTATGTCATTTTACGTCTTGATTTTCTTAATTTGTCATTTTACATCTTTATTATCTGTTTTAGCTTATTTTAAAGCTGGTTTTATCTTATTTTAAATAATTTGAAGTCACCTTGCGGCCCCCTGGTTGAGCACCCCTGCTCTATGTGATTGTATAAGGCAAGCATCACTGATTACTAAGTGCTACTGTATGGGTTTGTTCAAATCTCTAACTTTATGTGTGAGCACTAAGTATTGAACAATATCTTGCGCCATTTGTGCAACAGATGTGTCTTGTTAAAGTTATTACTTTTCTAAGTGATTTTTACCTGGTGGATGACAAAAAGAGTGAAAACATCCCACAGACTTGCATTGAAGGAGGGACCCGAACTATATGTAGAGACCAGAAATATCAAAGAGACTTGCAACCTGCCAGAATACCCCAGCAAGAGAGCTCTTCATGAGCAAACATTACTCCTATTTTCTTCAGATTATGTAAAAATCTAGTGTCTTCTGTCTCTTGGCAGTAGTCTGACTATAAAAAGTCCTTCTGACTCTTTTTATTTTGACTCTGTAATTGTTCAAATGGCAGTTAAGATCGAAGTTATGAGTCCAGAAATACAAACATTTTCCAAACACTGAGTGCAATAAAAATTCAAGCGTGTTGCACAGCAGTTGCATATAATTAAGCAGTTTTTCGAGGACTGGCATGTGTTCGGCCCACTTGTAGTTTTCCCAACGACCAAATAAAGCCACAGCTACTTAAGTCTAGACCCCGGTGAACAAGCTCTCTCTCTCTTGGACTGCAGGCAAGGATCCTTGCCAGCTCCTAAAATGTCATTCCTCTAAGTCTCCAGTGCCTCAGTTTTGGCCCAGTCAGTTCTGATGGAGCCATAAACTTCAAACGGGCTCAGCGCCCGACTGGCAGAATGCATTTCTCTCTCTTTTTCCTCTGGCGGCCGGCCACTGGAAATGAGCTAATCTCTCCTTACACAGACCTCCCTGAGTCCGGGCCAAAGGAATCTGAACATTATCCAAACCAATGACCGAAATGTTGAAAGCTGGCTCGCGGATTCAGCGATGGAATTATACAAGACAAACATCCCCCTTTCTCTCCAGCCTCCCTTTCTGTTAAGACTGTGATGACCACTGTGAAACTGCACACAGACTAACATATGTTTGCCATTACCGCACAGTACACGGTGTGCGCTTTTATTTGCTGTCATTTGTGTTGAAAATTCGATGTCTGATCCAGTAAGGTGTCATGTTTTTTTTTTGCTGTAATGGATTGTCAATAAGTCTCTCAGAAAGCCATATGTTTTAGTATATATATCATAAAACTGCTGAGACTCCATTTTTCTCAATGCTGTGTTGAATTCAGGAAACAAACAGTGGACTTCCAGACTCTCCTATAGAGCTCAACGGGCTGCCGTCTCCTCCAGCTGCTCTGTATCACGGCCCGGCGTTTCCTCCACAGCCTTCCCTGTCCACCCCTCTGACCGAGCCCATCCTGAGCACCATCCAGCAGAGAGAAACCCTGGAGAACAGGCTGGTAGATTGGTGAGAATATCCACTATCTGTGCAAATATCATCTGCTGCACAGATATGACCACAAATATGTCATGGTTTTCACAAAAATATTAGGCAGCACAACTGTTTTCAACATTAATAATAATAGGAACTGTTTCTCAGGCACCAAATCAGCATATTAGAATGGTTTCTGAAAGATCGTGTGACGCCGAAGACTGGAGTAATGATGCTGAAAATTCAGCTTTGCATCACAGGAATAAATGAGATTTTAAAATATATTCAAATAGAAAACAGGTCTTTTAAATTGTAATTTTTCACAATATTACTGTTTTTGATCAAATAAATGTAGCCTTAGTGAGCACTTATCTCCAGTTTGAAATGTATGTTTTGTAAGTCACTTTAGATAAAGCATTGGATCTACTAAATGGCTTTTTGCTTACTAATTGAATGTTCAGACCTAAATTTAGTTACATTTTTTGTTGCATCAGTTGAAGTATTCATTGGTTGGATTGCTGATGACATGTTATCATCATCAAAGCATAATGCCACTATAGCACTGTGTTTTCATCTCTCTCTCATAGGGTGGAGCAACAGCTCATGGCCAGAATGGTCACTGGAATGTTCCCTCAGCCCGTCCAGACTGATCCAGCCAGCCAATCAGAGCCGGAGAATAGTGTGCCATCAGGCATAGGTGAGAATGGGTTATTTTTTTAATGTTTATAATTGTGACTTTAGACCTCACAATGTGACTTAGTCTGATTTTAAACTCTGAGTTTGGCGTTAAATAGTTTAGAAGCTATGAACTTTGTCTGTCTGCGGTTCAACCATCATACATCTTCACCAATTTACCAGTGTGTCTGGTCAATGTTAAAAATCAACAACACAATCAATAACGCATGACATAAACCAGCAAGAATGGTCCAGGTTCCAATCTATAAGCTCGTCATTTTGATTCAGTGTCTGCGAATGAGAGCAGTGCATTTGTCAAGCGTGTCAGCATGCAGCAAGATTGTATTTCCTCATTAAAACACGATTGCTTGTGCTCAGCCCCTCTACTCCTCCTCCGCTCCATCCTTCCGTCTCTGTCGCGTCACTTCTGCTCAGTCGGCGAGGAGGTCCTGCCTCATTAATTCTCACTTTCGTTTAATAGAAAGATCAATGATGTATCAAATTTGCAGAGGGAGGCTCGAGGCAAACTGTTGTCAGCATATTCGCAGACTGACTGGACTCTTCCTCCTGTAGAGGAACTGTATATGTGTTTGAACGCAGACAAAAGGAAACGAGGCCCCTGCCAAGAATGTCAGTTCTGTATATTAGCTTTTTAATACCACCGGTCCAAGATGCTTACGGGTGCAATAATTCAGAATAGGCTGGATGAGAGGTAAAGTGAGTCTCAAATTGGTTATTTGAAATTACTTTGCTGGCAAACTCAACTTGCCAGAAGGGCTTCATGGGAAAACTTCTGAATATTGTGGGAATGGCAGATTTGCAGATATTAAGTGCATGCGTTGTTATTATTTTTTGGATGCACATTAGGAGTTTTAGCTCTTTAAATGGAACTCATTCATCCACGACGATGATAATACTTTTACTACTCTAAATGTGGTAATATTGTGCTAATATTGCAGGAGGTGTCTACGGTACCAACACCTGCACCCACTCCTGAGCCAGGCTCGACTGAGCCGCTGTCTCCTGTCAGAACCCCTGATCTTTCCGAGCATCTTTCTTCAGTTTTGTCCCCCAAAGAAAACCATCAGGGATCTGCTTCATCAGGTCTGACAGTAATTTTAATGAACATACCAAATCACTCGCCATCTATTTGTAAAAGTGTTAGCACAGTTGTTTACACACATCACTCAGCGCTACAACCATTCTGCCTTTGTTTCAGGTCCAAATAGAATTCCTGTGGGCACACCGGCTACCACACCAATCCCATCTCCCACCTGGGTGGCCACACCCTCACCTCCTCCAGCCAATCAGAGCCCAGATTCAGGAGCAGAGCTCCCCCTGGAGGTGGAAGAACCACACAGCGAGAGGCAGGAACAGCCTTCAGCGTCAGTGAATGTCTAAATATTATTGTTTCATTCTGCTTTATTCTTGTTATTCTTGCATGAAATATTCAGGCAAAGTAAATAACACATGCACTATTCATTTTATTTGTGTAGAAAAGCAAGGGCTGTTATTAAAAGCTATCGTTCAAACATTGGTAGAATCATGTTTGAGAAACTGTTTATTTTTTACTAGCAGTAGAAAATAGGTAATATTTGTACCTCTATATGTATAGTAGGTCTAGTAATGAATTTTGTGATATATAGGCCCACAGTGCCACCTGCTGTTAACAGCAGTAAATACTGTATATGACTAATTCTAGAAACATGGGAAAAAATTTCCTCTTTTAAAAGAAAGAGATAATCACTAGAAACACAGATGTGCTATTTCCTTTGATTTTATGTTTTTTAAAATTATAGCATCACTCACCACCACTCAAACCACCTGTCTTCAGACCGTAAGTTGGTGCTTCATTTAGAATAAAATATATATTTAACTTTCACTTATATGGTCTGACAGAACAAATTATTTAATTTAAAAAACATCTATTTTATTAGGATTAAAAGCTGTGTTCCTACTTTTATAGATATAGATTTGTAGCTATGTATGAAAATGTTTATAAAATCAGGTAATATTTCACCTGCTTTGGGTTCAGCAAGGCTCAACTCAAGTTTGTTTAAATAATTATTTTTATACCCATATCTTGAGTCTTTTGTGTGATGTGTTAATAAAGTGTGCCATTCAAATTTTAAATAAACTGTTTGGGATTTTAAAATAACTGTTCTCTTTTAAAGTAGGTATTAGCAGTTAGCAACTCCCGAAGAACAAAATAGCAGATGCATTTAGTTCATGTCTGATATGTAAAATTTTATTAGTTAACTAGATTTGTGTATATTTTTGTAAATATTTAACAATATTTTTGTGCCTTACAATACTGACCCATATTAATTAGTAGGAAGCAGTTGTAATTTAGTATTTCATGACTAGTTTCTGTTCTCTCTCTGAATCTAGGAAGTAAAAGCCGTTGCTGCTACTTCACCTTTAAGACTTTTACATGTTTTCTATTTGTATGGTTGTATGGTTAGTAATGTTTTGCTTCTGTGTCAGTGTAGGAATATGTGCCTTTGCTAAGCGTTGCACTCACTAACACCCTCCATCTCTCTCACACGCAGTTTGACGTCAGTAGCCCAAGAGGACGATGAGGAAGAATCAGTCATCCATTCATCTCCACCTCTCCCCTCCAAACCCAAGACTTCCCCACCTCCTCTTCCTCCTGTGAGCCAGGAACCTCCTCCTGCCGCCCCCCTTGAATCCTTCTCTTCCTCCTCCTCCTCAGAGGAGAGCAGCACTAGTTTCAGTGTGACTGTCACGGAGATGCAGACGCCAGCCAGACACATCTCAGAGGGAGAGCTGCTGCTCACTCACGGCCAGATGGCGGCAGTCAGAGGTACACGATCTGTCCGACACACACTCACACAGCCAGACTGATCCAAAACCACACTGTCTGCATAAGCAGCTGCCTTTTAAGGACAAACTGGACGTTTATAAATGAATGGGCTGCATCTCACAAACCCACAAGCCTGGATGTATTATTTCATTATTATACAAGTAATATAGTATATACTTTTTGTATTTTATATCTTGTTTTTGAAAGAATGATTTCTGAAGGATCGTGTGACACTGAAAACTGAATTCAGCTTTGCCGTCACAGGAATAACTTACATTTCAGAATATATTTAAATAGAAAACAGTTATTTTAAATTGTAATAGTACTTAACAATATTGCTATTTCTACTGCATTTTTTGATCAAATCAGAATCAGAAAGAGCTTTACAAGGAATTCGTCTTGGTGTAATAAATAAAGATGACCGATATGGTTTTGATAAGTTATTTACAGATGTACAGTCCTGAGATGTGTTATATATTGTTCAAGGCTGCAAATAAATGCAGCCTTGAGTATATGAGACGTCTTTCAAAAGCATTGCAAATCTTTTATTCCGAACTTTTAATCATATATATTTGTTCAATTTTGCCTTCAATACTTTGTAGTGTGCCTATGATGCCTAAATTTGTTGTTGAGTTTATAGGCTCTTTTTTATGCATTTTGTTCTTGAAAATACACTTTTTTTCCTTCCCCAGTTCTGGAAGAGGAAGGAGTCCTTCTGCCTAGTTTGATGACCAGCCTGAACAGTTCCCTGCATGGAGTCCAAGATATGGTAAATGTTTGAATGCAAAGAGTCTTAGCAACAGACCCAAACACTTTTGTGTTTCCTCACCATTTCTTAAACCAAATGGAATGAAATAATAAGACTGTCATGGTTAAACATGAACTGACAATTTCAGCTTGGGGTTTGAGCTTTTAGCCAAAGGTTAGAGATTCAATCCCAAAGAGAACTGGGGAGACAGCCAGTAACACGGTTATTGCTGATATAACAATCATCTGTGATGATTAGCAATGTGAAAATCGCTAAATCTGATCAGTATTTCCATTTCATTTTGGATAGTGGAAGTGTAGAAAAACCTCATACAGTGATAGAATTCATTATAATTGTTAAACAACACATTGTTTAATAAAATAACACCACAAATATTTTCCAGGTGTATATACATTAAATCAAGTGCACTGATTTTATACAAACTTTTTTTTTTTGTCAGGATTACGATCCGCCCAGCGAAGGTCAGGTGATCGGAGCTCCACGCCTTCCTGCTCATCATGATCCCGTCCTGTCTCTGTTGGCCAGAATGGAACGCGGCCCTGTCAGCCAATCAAAGCAGCCAGAGGTATCATGTGACTTGACTGAAGCTTTCACATTCGCTAATGATGTTCCAATCAAGAACAAATCATTTTTTTGAACTAGTTCGTTTGAAAGATTTGGTCAAACTAATTTGTTTGTGAAGCTGATGTGCAGAGCATTTGTAAATTACTCTATTGTGTGTGTATAGAGAGAGAGAGAGAGGCAGTTGTTTATTTTTATTTTTTCATACTGAAAATAATATATATATATATATGTATATGTGTGTGTATATGTGTGTGTGTTAATATGAAAATTATTATATAAAATATTGACTTTCGGAATATTTACTTTAATTTGACTTTGTTAAATCTTTTTAAACATTAAGAAAAAACTAAGATATTGCTGTCAATATTTTATAAAATAATTGTAATTATTGTAAATTGTTTTTTATGGTTACAACATTTGTATAGAATTTTTCTCTGAACATTTCTGCAAACACTAGCTTGTGTCTTATTGACAGATTGCTAGTTCTGCTCTTATCCAGTAGGTGGTGCTAGAGGATGTTTAAAAAAGGACACATGATCACAATAATTCATCTCTCTTTCTCAGAGATGGTGGGAGGAGGAGAGCAGTGGAGAGGTCAGTGAGGGTCAGAGACCTCTTCTGACGACCGCAGCGGAGATTGTGCTGACCGGACACTCACTCATGGATCAGCAGAGATACACACAGCACAGATCCACAGAGATCTCACCACACGCCACACTCTCATCACCTGGACAAGTGCTCGCCGACCACACGGGTAAGAAACATCACTCAGACAATCAGCACACACAGACTGCACTTTTACAATAGTAAATAAATAAATAAAACTTGACTCAGAATTTATTGACTTTTTTACGTCACTTGCCTTAAGCAATAACAGTTAAGCCAGTGTGATATGTTAAAGGTTTCTATGTGTGACGCATGTATTACAAACATATAAACGTCATTTCACTTTTTTACATTGTTTTTCCTGTCGCCATTAATCTGTCTTTTTGCCCATCAACTCCTGCGGCGCCATTTGGGTGGCCACGTCCCCTTCCTGTATGGCTTTGGCAGTGTTACTGGCCCTCCGTGGGTTGTCTCTAATGGGGCATGTCTCACACTACCCGTGTTATATGGACACAGGGAATTAAGCTGTTTTTGCTTCAGATTCTGTGTGTGAAAGAGCGAGCTGAGGCTGACACAAGGGAAGCCAGGCGGTCTGGATACTTCATCAGAATTCAGGCTCAGGGAACTAGGCGGAAACGAATCCCACTCCCACTCTGGGCATCCTCTTACACAGCCTGTGAACAGCGTCCAATCACAACCGCAAAGACGCTGCGCTCTCCCCACTAATGCTTATTCCATTATTCCCTTCGCTATGTGCGTCCTTCTGCTGAAGTTACAAATGAGTTTAAAGTAGAGATCGACTAATAATGTTTTTTATTTAATGCTGGAAACTAAGATGCCGAACTGATATATAGTTATTTTATTTGTGCCTTTAAATGCAATGCTAAATAAATAACGAATAAATAACCATTAAATTCCGTCAATAATAAACTATCTGCATTATTATTGATGGAATTTAATGGTTATTTATTAGTTATTTACTTGGTATTGCATTGAAATAAAAAAATAAAATAATTATTACAATTCAGTTCTGCATTATTAATAATAATAATAATTATTATTATTATTAGGGAATATCGAATAATTTTCTCAACTTTGTTACCTCATCAAATAATTATCTGTAATATGAATATTATATAATAATAGTCATAATAATAATAACAATTATTATTATTATTATATTTAGTTAAGCAGAAGATAGCACATCATGAAGGAGATTATCTAATCATTATTATTATCATCGTCATCATCATTATAAATATTAGCTAATTAAATTAAAAATTATCCATAAAATGTAATATCTGATATAAATTAATATTAATACTAAATGTTTATTATTGTATTTGTTTTTATAATTTATAAAATGTTTATAATCTCTAATATTTATTGCATTATATGTATGGTCACGTTTTGCAACCTAAAGACTCGTAAATTTATTTTAATATTTGGTTTGCGCTATGTCTAACTGTTTAGCTTAAAATGCTGTACGTTTTTCTCAAAGGTTGAGTTTACCTGAAAATTGGTCAAGTTCTAATTGATGGGAAAAAAATAATTCTAGCGAAGAGTAAAATCTGTGTTGAGCTTATTTTGGAGTAAATATTAGTTTCTTATCATGTTCGGACTTGAAACGCTGAATTTTAGTTTTTGAATAAAACCTGTGTTGGGCTTATTTGGAGTCGATATTAGTTTCGTATCGTGTTTCAAAAGTGAAATGTCAAATGTTTGGACTGTCCAAAACCTCACACTGAAAAGAAATGTATGCAAGTCAATAAACGTTATTAAGCAGCAGAGATGTTTTGGAAAACACCGGCCTGCGTTTTAAATGTTTAGTGTACTAAGAGCTTCTGCTGTCCAAATATGTGTGTGGACGGTACATGCAAGTTATGAGTCCCGGGCAACAGAACGCCGGTGTAGAATCCAAACCTCTTCCTGTGTTGGCCTAAACCAATATTTACTCAAAGCCAAGATCGCTCTGCTCACAGTAAAAAGAGCCTCAGTGTTGCTTAGAGACTAGTGCTGCCAAAGAAAAAACACACACCCCAGCAGCACAGACAAGAGTTCATCCTTGACCGAGCGAGAATTTAATGCTATTTTGCTTCCCTCTCAACTGCAATACAGTCCCCATAACAGAGACAAATCAAAGCTGCTCGAAGCATCATAAACATGTTACAGGCTATCAAACTGCAAGTATACTTCACAAGACTCTGTTGCTGTATGTATGCATAATTTATTGATAGACTTATGACCAGTATGGTATTTTTACTGTGTTGGTTGTTCTTGGGCATTGAGAACATTGAGTATTATCATACCGTACTTTGCACGCTGTCTGAAATATTCCTGTTTTGTATCCATGACAACCAGGTGCAGTGGTTGAAGACAGTGGGCTGTCAGTGAACCTCAGGTCATTGGAGAAACAGAAGGAAGCTGAGGTTTATCATCATGTGGTGACTGTCTCCTCCCCTCATCCACAGGACACACAAAATCAGGCAAGTTCTCTTACCTGCCCTGCTGTAGACAGAGTCTGAATTAAAGCAGCACTATGTAACTTTTGGCTCTCTAGCGGTTAATAAACAGAACTGCCACACATCCCGCGGAAGAACATTCCAACCGAAGCTACTTCTCTAAGTTTATGTTTATGGCGATTCACGCAGGTATGTGTTACTCCGCAGTGGTGACGACCCGACCAGGCTACAATAGTCCAAATATAAGTACTTATTATAAGTGTACCGTAGTGATTCGGAATAAGACAAAAATGCGGTTTGGAAGATGAATTCATGATGTACTCGCTCATTGTATACATTTTGCAACACAGAAAAAGTTACATAGTGCTGCTTTAAGAAGTAAGAGTTACATTTCTGCTTAAATTATAAACAGGAAGCACACCAAAGAAGATGTTGACACTGTATAATTGCATTTATTACTGTTAACAAACATTATTATGTTTGAATACATCTTTTGTCACAGGATACAGCTTGAATGTGACCGTTAGGATTTTGGATCGTGAAAATTTTTCCTTATCTGTGTTGCCTTGGTGACATCAGCAGAAAAGTAATTTCATAAGCTGAGAAAGTTATTGCTTGTCATTGAAAGATGACTATTGACACCACAGGCATTTGTTATAAAGTGTTGTTGATTGTGTAATGATTAAAAATGTGATGAAACACCAAGGAGCACTCTGCACCTGGTCGGGAAATGTCACGTCCCTTACCATAGCCGCCCGCCTGTGAGCTTCAGTGTAAATATTGCGTCAAAATCAAATCAATTTGAGCGCGATCTAAACCAGGATTATTGGAGCAACTCTTAAGTTCGTCTGCCTTGGGAAAGCTAGCGTGTCTCCGACATAGTGATAACACTCGTTGCCTTCTCTAGTGCAGCTCAACCAGGTCTCATCCCATTCGTCTATTTTTGTGATATCACAAATCCCGGAAAATATGCGTTGTAGTCCAAACGAGTCGTTCGTTGTAGTTTTTGAAAAGTGATTTCTGTTAAATAAAATATCTCCTTTTGAAGTGGACTTTGAGCTTTGTAACTTTGCAGATCTTTTTTATGCTCAAACAGCAACATTACAGACTAACTAAAGTTGAAAAAGTGAAAAAGCATAATAGGACCCCTTTAAATCAAAAAGTCTTTATGCTCATCAAGGCTGCATTTATTTAATCAAAATACAGTAAAAAAAAAAAGTAATATTGTGAAATATTATTGCAATGCAAAATAACTTTTCTATTTGAATATATTTTAAAATGTAATTTATTTTAAAACTGGGATATAGTTTTTTCTGCATTTGATGAATAGAAAGTTCAAAATAACAGCATTTGTTTGAGATGGAAACCTTTTGTAAAAATGTAAAATGTAAATGTTTACTGTCACTTTTGATCAATTAAAGGCCTTGCTGCGTAAAAGTAATATTATTATTATTTTTTATTTATTTATTTATTTTTCAAAAAGAAAAAAAACATCTTACTGACCCCAGATGTATAAGAAATCTATTTTTTATATATTTGGTTTATTGATGAATTTTAAACATATTTAAAATTAAGAATAAACTCTGACAATAATAGAACCAGTAATTAAAAAAACAAAAAAACGTGACCATTGGCAGCTGACAGTCTGATTCTGGCAGGTCACGTGATCTGCCAGTGGTTGCCTGCCTGGCGGCTGGAAGTCCACTGTCAGGAACCATTGATTTGAATGGACGATCATATCCAAGCCAAAGTTCGGGATATGGATTTTCTGTCGATGGTTGTCTGTCCACAAAGTGGAATGAGCATACATGGATGTTACGGGGCGGACATTTCAAATTAAGTGCTGCGAGCCATTGTCTTTTACCCTCGTCGTCGGATGGCATCTTGTGCAATTTAAAAGGTCTTGGGCATTTACATTCTGCTCTTATTGTTGGCTTGTGTTCATAACACTCTTGATCAAGAAACATTTTGAGCTTTCTGTAGCTGTTGTGACAGCCTTTAACGGCACAAAATTTCCCAGAACCTCCACAATTCGCCATTACCGCTAACTTAAGACAATTACTAAACGGAAGTTCGAAGCATCCTACAGGAAGTCACTCGCCGCTATGGCGCCCTCCATGGAGAAGCGAAGAAAAAGGTCTATACAGTTGCTGGTTCTGCCCCTCAAATCTGATTGGCTGAGCAACATTCCAAAATGTTTATATTAATCTAACAGTACAGGGGCTTTTAACTTTCAGACAGACTGAGACCCAACAGCGCTCTTCTGTGATTGCTTAAAGGGATAGTTCACCCAAAAATGAAACTGCTGTCATCATTAAATCATTCATCAGTCAATGGGGACCAGCAGCTGTTTGGTTACCAACAATTAAAAAAAAAAAATCTTCTTTTGTGTTCAACAGAAGAAAGAAACTCATACAGGTTTGGAACAACTTGAGCGTGAGTACATGATGACAGAATTTCCATTTTTGGGTGAACTTATTAACTTATTTAAAAGTTTGTAAAGTGGTATGCAAGGGGTGGTTATCTCTGCAGTATTTACTTCTCTTAATTGCAAAAACAAAGCAGTCTCTTTAGTGGTGTGTGGAAACTCCTGAGACCCTCATTAACCCAGAATTCTCGGTCTCTAGGTCGCCCATATGTGGGGATTTACCCCCCTGAATGAAGGAGATTTAAACAATGTTCCTGTATAATCCCTCTGCATACAGTGTCCACCCGATGCCCCTCTCCTCCGCTATTGTTCTTGTCTCATCTCCTCTCATTTTTTTGTTTAGAGCTCCCAGACAGCACAGGCGGTCCACAGACCTGCACCAATCCTGGTGAAGCAGTACCAAGACAAAGAGGAACCAGGTGCAAATACATGTACACACAGAGTACCTAATGTTTAGAGTCAAGGGTGGTCTGAAAAATATTTGTTTGCTCCTAAAAGTCGCAAAATAAACATTTAGAAGATATACACATTTATGAATCTGACGTTAACTGAAGTGAAAAAATTAAAAAGGAACGTGTCCCACCCAAACTTCCTGTTTTAACAGGAAATACGTAAACACTAAAGGAAAAAGACAACTGCAACTAGTCAAACTGTTTCCTGGGGTCTTTAAACGGGCTGCTAATCCAGGTGGCTGTTAAATGAATAAAAGTTAAGGGTTAAGTGGTGGCTAGGGTGTTCTTAGGTGGTCACTTGGTGATTGCTGACTGACCCAAAACTCCAATTTAATATAGGTCTGTGATAATTGTTTACCTTTTTTTTTTTAAACATTTAAATAAAAAATTGAACATTTTCATTTTGTATCACAAAGCGTGCAGGACGACTACAGCCCAACCCCTCTTCAGTAAAATTATGCAGTTTGCTTTGCAGCCTCTTGGTGGTAGTGTACCTATAGGGCAACACTGTCTGCATTGTTCTTTTGTCTTTGTCAGAGCCTGACTGTCCTCTTGTGTCTGATTGTGTGTCCTCATGTCTGGGCATCAGGGGTCCAGAGATGCTGGAGTCAGCTTTTAAAACTTCAGGCAGGTGTGAAGGGGCACAGCAGAAGACAAATATCTTTATGACAGTAGCTGCTGAGATGGCATATGCATCATTTAGTTTGAAGGCTGGGCTGAACCAGTAGGACAAGGATACATGCCTGCATCCCATAAGGACAGGTTGAGTGTTTGCATACATACATTTATGCAAAATAAACTGTCAGTTATAATGCCACGACCATAAACACATAAACATAACCGTGTAACTCTAAATGGCTCTAGATGCAAGAAACTTTGACTAGCATTATAAGTGAACAGGATCATGACAGAGAGATGAGTGTCTGTTGGACATTAGAGCGCTGTATGTGTGCAGATGCAGGACAGAGCTGCAGATTAGACATAATGAAATCTATGCTGAGAAAGCGCTCTCTCTCCCCAGTGCTTTTTATTAAGTCTTACATAAGAGAGCATTGTGAACTCCAGTGCACTAAACTATTTACCCCAGTTTGCTGACAAAAAACACCTGTCTTTGCAGCTGCCAATTTTCCCTCTTTCGTAAATTGTTTCTCTTGTTTCCCTGTGGTGAATTTGTATTACATTCTCTCTTACAAAACATATAGATCAGACTGTGAAATTATTTATCTATCTATCTATCTATCTATCTATCTATCTATCTATCTATCTATCTATCTATCTATCGTTCTGTCTGTCTATCTGTCTGTTGTTCTGTCGTTCTGTATTTTGAATGAAAAGTGCTTAAGGCTTATGCAACCTACAAACTTCCTGGCTTTTCAGTAGAACTTTTCAAGTTTAAAAACAACCTTTAAGTTTTGACCAATTTTCCTTCTAGTTCTAATTTTAATTAACAAAAATTCCTTTTATAATCACTTATGCATGTGTACAATAAGCCCTAATGCTGAGTGACATTCCAGTAAACCTTGAAAATCGGCCTTTTCTGTATTCTGCATCCCTCCTTCTTCCCTCTGCCATTTCACTCCTTCCTTTATTCATTTCTCATTTCTGTTCCCCTCTCATCTATTAGTTCAAATTTTCTGCTGTGTCCTGCTTACCCATATGTATTGGACATATAGTTTATCCAGGCGCACTGTTTCAGTGCCGCCTGTCGCGTGTGATTAGTGTGTGATGAGAGCCAGTGTGTGCTGACGGGTGAATGGATGTGATTAGTCTTTGAACGTCAGCTCATTCTGTGTCATTACATTTGCTCTGAGGATTTTCCCTTTCTCTCTCAGTGTGTAATTTGACGCACCAGTGAAACAGCAGAAAGACCGGAGGTGCACCTGTGTTCGAGTGCCTGCAGTTAGTTTGCAAATTGCCTGGACATTATGTACGTCCACATGTGCATGCATGCATCTATTTGAGAGCCCTTGTTTGGTATCCATTTAAAGGGATAGTTCACTTTAAAATAAAAATTCATTTATTTACTCACCCTCAAGTCGCTCAAAACACAGAAGAAGATATTTTGAAACTGTTTCTAAATGTTTTTGGTCCATATTAGGAAGGCCAATGTGGTTCCATGTTGTTTTGGACACCACTGACTTCCACTATAAGGGAAAAAACTTATTTAAAATATGTTCTTTTGTGTCCCACAGATGAAAGAAAGTCAGATTTGCAACAGCATTCATGTTTAGGTCCCTTTAAAGCAGACGTGGTGCTGTTGTAGAAATCACTTGCTGTTTTGCTCAATTACACTGATATTTTGTTCTGGTCATGAAGCTAATTACAATAAACAGCCCATATACATTGACAAAAGCCTCTTTGTTAGGTCTTTTCTATCACTTTCTCATCAGTGCTCACACAAGCAAGCGCTTGTGAGTTTATAAAGGAGGTGACAGCACTGAATGTCTTCGCTGAATTTCACACTGCAATTCTATACTGTAAGTACATTACATTAAAGCCTTTTAGTCACAGCTTTAGCCAAGATGAAGGGCCTTGAACAAATAGAGCTTCTGTGACTGCGATCTGCACCGCTGCCCGATCTACAGATGGGCCAATTGTGTTGTCTAATAAAAGGCGTAGTGTGGTACTGTACAGCCAGATCGGTTCAGACATGACCTGGGCAGCATCCCCTGGTTATACAGCTGCTCTCTCTGATGACTATCTCTCTGTTTGCCTATTAGAGAATGGCTGCTCTGTTCAAGCGTCCCAGTTCAGCTTGTAGCCGTTACATTGATGGGGAAAAGAGATTTAAAGATGCTTATATAATGGTGGTTGGTGAAACTCCTTGAGGATATGGCAGATGGAGTTTTCGTAATTGGTCTTTATATAATTTGACTCTGCTGCCATTTCATTTGTTTGCCACGTGTATTTTACTCTATGCTAATATTTTTTATCATAAAATAATACATCAATGATTGATTTATATATAATAAAAATTATCTGAAAAAAAATAAATTTTTACATTTCTGATTAATAAATGAGTGAAAACTGGCGGTCACAATGTTAGTGTTTTCCCTTATTTTTAGATTTAGATTTTTGCCATCATTTAACACTCGCTTAAATTTAATCTTTAAAAACAAATAGGCAAACACTCTTAAATGTTATTAGTCGGTCTTAAATTGAAAATCCATCTTTCATACTTTCTTTTATACTTTGTTGTGAAGTGTAAGTTCACCTGTATCATTTAAATATATTAATTTTAGTCATTAAATAATTCATTAACCATTGATTATATATTATGTTATGCATTAATTATACATTAAAATTGTCAAAATATTTTTTGGTGTATGCATGTGCATCTTTATACAGTTGCTAAGGTGTTTTGAGTGGTTGCCACATGTTTTCTAGGATGCTCTGGTGGTTGCCTTGTGGTTACTTAGTTAAAACAGCCTCAAGTTTCTGTAATTTTTCTAAATATGGCTCAGGTTCCTCCTTTATGATGTGTTTAGTTTGGTTTTTCACATGTTTGTTTGCTTTTTTAAATTTTTTGTTATATATATATATATATATATATATATATATATATATATAGTTTTTTATTTTTATTATGTTTTAATTTTGACTATTCTTAGATTTAGATTATATTTGCAAATCTACTGCTCGCTTAAAGTTAATCTTTAAAAAAGCACTGCTAGTTAGTATGTAATTAGTAAATCTTAAAATGAAAATCCATCTTTTATAATTTTATACTTTGACTATCATACTTTGTTATAATGTGTAAGTACACTTGTGGCATTTAAAAATATTAATATTTTTATTGCATTTTAACACAAAAACAAATGTGAAAATACATTGTTTTTGTCAATTTTTGTGATGTGTGTTCAAAGAGATGGTGCACAGAAATGGAAAGTTGCACAACCAACCCATAAAAGAATCTCTATCCTGAGGTGAAAGTGGACATCCGTTGAACACTGGGCTCTTGTGTGTGAAATATTGGCCCCTCTGTGGAGCACAGGAAGGGGGTGAGGGCACACATACACACTCACACACAGCCTGCCTCTCGAGGGCCATGCAGATAAACTGTTTCCAAGCTGCTCGGCCGTTCTGTTTTACTGGGATCAAAACATCATTCAAGAAGCCGGGCTTTCCAGGAGAGCCGTGTTAACCCTAGCTCTGTGTGAGCTCTCTTTCTTCATCCGTCATGTCCAGTTCTTCACTATAATGATAACATACCTACAGCTACGTGTGGTTAGGCAAAGTATGCATGCTCCAAATGAGAATAGTAGTGTACTGTGTTTTTAACTACTATGTGACTTGCATGAATGTGGTGCAGAATTTTGATGCTGATTTGAGCTTGTTGTTATGCAAAGAATGCAGGAATAATCACGCTTCGATGAAGTCACCATGGGCTGGTGTTTCTTTTCTCGTTTTAATGGGCTTATTCTCATTGGTATGAGAATGTGGATATTTTCTGCACTTATATAGTCACTTTTGCACTTAAAGGTCCCATATTGTCAAAACTGAAATTTCTTGACTTTTTTCACGATAACTGAGGTCTAGGTGCTATGTAAGTACCATATTAGTTTCAAAACAGTCAGTCCACAGTAAAATGCACACAGCCTGCATAAAGTAGCTGTGATTTTTCACGAACCGTAAAAAGTTGATGTCAGAACTACACAGTCACCACCCCGAGCACCGCCAACCGTCCCACTCTTTTTTGCCAAACCGCCAGACAACATCGCGTCCATGCTATTGCTGAGCAACGACAACACGGAAACATGTCGAAAAGGTTAACTTTAACCACGAAACCAGATCGGCCGACCTGTAACGTTACACTCTCACTCAAAGGATGGACGATCTGACAGGATTGTTACTATGAGGTGATCACATCTAACGTGTTTATTTAGAAAAGACAAACTCACCGTGTCTATCTAGTCATGATGATGTATATACATTTCAATTTCAGCAGGAAACTATTTTTACAGCTA